CCTTGTACAACTGATGCCAATAGAGTCCTGCGGGTTGATCTTTGCATCGAAGGTCGCCTTGAAGTATCCGTGGGTTCCCAGGCTCTCCTTGATATAGCCGGTGCGGCCGCGTCTGGTCCAGAGCTGAAGAGCTTTGAACCAAGCGATATCCTCTGCGTTGAAGAACATATACCGGACGGTAACGAGCTTCTTGTGGATCTTGTACGGGTGACCGGTCAAGATGACTCGTTTGGCTACCACACGAGACTGGTCTGGTGCCATGGATGTGCCTGTTCCGATAAGTTCTAAGGCGGTTTTGGTGTTGGCCTCGTCGCTTCCATCAAGGACCTCGGGGTCAGCCGTGGCTGTGCGTCGGAAGATGAGTACCGGGATCGAGCCCCAGGATACAGGGCCGATGAATGTAGCTACCGCACTGCGGCCTGGGTGTATGAACCTATCGAACTTGTGCACGTTGTTCGGGGTTGTTCCGGCCGAGGAGAAGATGGGTTTGACCAGCAGTCGACGAGGGCCGCATTGGATGATCAGCTCCTCCTTTGACTTGATAGGTGTTTCTACCGTCGAGTTTAGGGTCATGTTGATATTGACCACCGCATGCTTGTGCTCGTGGCGAAGCAGAGAGAAGAGGGAGAGAGGAGATGGGTTGCGCTGCTGAAGGCTCAATGGGACGGCGCGAAGATGGACGTTCACTTTAGTTCCGGGTTTCGCGCCGCCAACAAGGGCTTCACGGATACACTGATTGCGAGCTCCCTTGTAATCCGGCACTTGGAGTAGACGGCGCCAGTCCTCTGGTTCATATGCCCTGTCCTCCTCAGTCTCCCACTTGCTGGTCTTGAGGCTTCGGAGGCCACGGTACCTTGCCAGGCGCTCTCTTGCCAATGTGTTGGGATGAAGTTCAATCTCGTCAGGGAATTCAAGGTCCTCTTGTGCCTCACTCTTCTTGCTAGCTCGGTATTCTTCTATTTGTTTGGCCTCTTCCTCTGGCGATGGGTCCAAGAACATCTCGGACTGCGGGTATTCGGTGCCGCCACCCTCGGTCATGGCATCTCTGTTATCGGGGAAAACACCATCCTCGGGGCGGCCTTCGTCCATATCCATCATCTCTTCGTCATCGTCGTGCTCTTCGTCCATGAGATCGGATCCTGAATCGGAGAAGTTATCGAGATACCAGGCGGATTGGTACTTTGATGTACCACGGGGTATTCTCTTGGGTATCTCATAAGCCTCCGGCTCGTCTTCGTCTGAAAAATAGTGATGGTCGTCCAGTAAGACACCCTTTCTCTCTTTCCCAAGCATTGAAGGCGTATCGTCCGTCATGAACACTTCTTCAGGAGCCACGGTAGTAAGATCCTCAGCGTCTTCGGTCGGTTCATCCAGAACTTCCTCGTTCACTGTATCATCAATATTCATCGCATCGTCCTTTTTGCGTGTCGGAGGAGGCACCTTCGTGATCGATGATATCTGGAAATCTCCCCAGGTCGGAATATGTACTAGTCGATCTGCCTTGAGCCCCTTTCCTCGAACAACTCCAGTAACCACGACATCTCCTGTTTCCTCCGCCGAAGACGTAGGCCACTCGACATTTTCGATCAGCATCCAACTTCGGTCATCCCTCCATGGATGCCCTTTGGAGTTGCTGTGCAAAGTCCCCGTATAACATTCGAACAGTCCTGTCTAGAGTCGAGCGAGTGTACCTTGTCAAGGCTAGGGAAGTAGTGTGTCAGATATGATTTTAGCGATGTCACGACTTGCGTTCTCTTCTTCGGTGTTGGTATCTTCTCAAGACCCTGGTAGTGTTCGTAGGTTTAGTAAAATGGCCAATGTATTCGAAAGAAGGTAATCATACCTGTACGAGGGACATAATATTAGAGATACCCTGGCTTTCTACGGCTTTAAGCAGCACTTGAGCCGTCTCATCCAGGGCTTCGACATCCGAGGAGACAACAAAGATGACAAAATCTGCAAGCCGGCACACATCCAACGCGCTGATCAAGTCCCTCGTGGCGGGGATATATGTAACACTCTGCTTGAATCTGTCGATCCGCACTCGGCAGATGCCACTGTGACTTTCACTATCCGGCACCTCGACGCTCTGGTTAAGCTGTAGCACTACGGCATTCAAATCCACTCCCTCTGAAACCGGTATGACTGCCACATGTCTGGATGCGCCGTGTTGGCCAGAGAATATACTAACAGCCTCGGACTTAGCTCTGGACTTGAGTCTCTTCTTCTGTTCGGCCTGATTTCGTCTCTGCATCTTCGTCATGAGCTGCTGGTGGGGAGTTTTGCGGCTGCCCCTCTCGAACTCGATTTTTCCTTAATTGACCATTAGCGATATTCTATCCATTGCATCAGCTATACAAACCTTTAGATAGCTCCTTCAGAGCGCCTTTGGTCATATGCTTGGACTTGAAGACCTTGTTCGCCTTCTTCGTCGTATTCCGGTGGTGATGCTGCTCTGCCATCGCCATGGGAGCCATCTTGCCTGGCCCTGAGCCCTTAAATCTGAACGGTAGCGAGTCCAGCTTGGGCAATCCAAAGCAGAGAATAATATAACAGTAACACACTCGCACTCCGTTCTTTTTTTCTCTTCCTCTTCTTTTCTTTCGTCGCAAAATCGAAGAAAAATATAAAAATATAAAAAACATTTCTGTGTAAAAAGATAAGATCACGTGAGATCTTATCTTTTGTGGGCGAAATCTTGGCAATTTTTTTAATTTTTTATTTTTTATGGTTTATTTTTTGGAGATTTTTGAAGCTCAAAAGAAAAGGAAGAAGAAAAATACATCTTTTAACTGTTGTATATTTGATAGTTGAGCTGTTGTTGGTGCCGCAGTAGCCATGGCTATGGAGGTCACCAAATCCAAGCTGGACGCCCCAAGGCGGTCAAAGGAAGAAGTCGCAGCAGCGCACGAAGCCAGCAAGCAATTCGCCGAAGCGCAAAAGACATATGGACGAGGCAAACAGGTTGCAGTGAAGTCCGTAAGGGACAAGAAACTGCGGAGTAACCTGAGGAATCTTGAAGCAAAATACAAGAATGCGATTCTCCAAGCGAAAGATTCCGAGCTGTTGCTTGAGAACGAGGGCGGATACATTGAAGCTGAAGGGGAGCTTGAGAGAACATATAAAGTCCGTCAGGACGAGATAAAAGCGAATGTCGGTATTGAAGTTGCGAAGAACAGCTTTGACTTGAAACTAGAAGAGCTGGGACCGTACAGGGCGGATTACACGCGCAATGGGAGAAAGCTTCTGCTGGCCGGGAGAAAAGGTCATGTTGCTACGATGGACTGGAGAGAAGGCAAGCTGGGATGCGAGCTACAGCTCGGCGAGACGGTGAGGGATGCAAGGTGGCTACATAACGATCAGTTTTTTGCGGTTGCGCAGAAGAAATACGTTTATATATATGATCATACTGGTGTTGAGATACACTGTTTGAGCAAGCATGTCGAGCCAACACACCTTGAATTCCTACCATATCACTTCCTCCTCGCTAGTGCGGTAGGTTTGGCCCAAAGTGTTTACTTGTGTTCACTACTGGACTAACGCCTTATATGTGTAGGCGACAAGCGGATATTTAAAATACACAGACACCTCGACGGGTCAGTTGGTGGCAGAGCTACCGACACGAAAGGGATGTCCGACCTCCCTATGCCAAAACCCTTACAACGCCATCCTCCACGTTGGTCATCAGAATGGCACCGTCAGTTTATGGTCTCCCAACTCACAGACGGCATTGGTAAAGGCCCTGGTTCACCGTGGTCCAGTCCGGTCACTCGCGGTCGACAGACAAGGACGGTACATGGTATCAACTGGTCAGGATCAGAAAATGGCAGTATGGGATATCCGCATGTTCAAAGAAGTACATTCATACTATCTACACCAGCCCGGCTCGACGGTAGCAATAAGTGATCGAGGTTTAACGGGAGTTGGCTGGGGGACACAAGTCAGTGTATGGAAGGGACTATTTCAAGCTGCGCAGGAAGACCAAGAGAAGGTCCGCAGTCCCTACATGGCGTGGGGAGGCGAAGGACAGCGTGTGGAAGGCATACGATGGTGTCCGTACGAAGATGTGCTCGGTATAGCGCACGACAAGGGCTTCTCGAGCATGATCGTTCCCGGCGCTGGTGAACCCAACTTCGATGCAATGGAAGCCAACCCTTACGAGACGAGCAAGCAGCGGCAGGAGGCTGAAGTCAAGGCTTTGCTGACGAAATTGCAGCCAGAGATGATTTCTCTCAACCCCGATTTCGTGGGTAATTTGGACTTGACTAGTGAGAAAGCTCGACGGGAAGCCAGAGACCTTGACAAGAAGAAGGAAGATGTTGCTGAGAAGCTGAAGAATCGTGGCAGAGGACGAAATAGTGCACTGAGGAAATATCTTCGGAAACGCGGTGGCAAGAATATCATTGATGAGAACAGGTTGAAGGTCGAGGCTATGAGAAAGGAGCAGAACGAGAAGCTGAAGGAGAGACGGCGAAGGGAGAGAGAGGAACTAGGACCGGCACTTGGGAGGTTCGTGAAGAAGTGATTCTGCGTGCTCTTCTTCATCTGCCTGTCCTTTTGGGGAAATAACAGAATAATACCCATTCAAGTTAACGATGCTTGTACATTTGTCTTATTGGTTGCATGGTTGAACGGCGTTTCATGGCTATAGAAGAATGGCTGTTTCTGAATGAATATCATCAAGTCGAGCGCTTGAAAGAAAGAGGATATCAAGTTTTCCTTCTCACTCATCTACGGACCCAGAGTTCTTTGGAGAGCCATTCTTCCATCTCTCCAGGCTAACGTCGTAAGCCCCGCTGCTCTTCCAGGCGCTCAGGATCAGATTGACGATATGCTCCACTCCCTGACCCTGCTTGACCACAGCGAAGACCGTAGGACCACCATCTCTCATCTTCGCCGCATCTCTCTCCATAACACCCAGATCAGCACCCACGGCCTCTGCAAGATCAATCTTGTTAACGACCAACAGATCACTGCCTGTGATCCCTGGTCCGCCCTTACGAGGCACCTTATCGCCGCCAGCAACGTCAATAACGTAAATGATGAAATCAGCGAGTTCACGAGAGTAGTTTGCCGCGAGATTGTCTCCGCCGGACTCGATGAGGAGTAGATCCGTCTTGAACTTGCGTTGTAGCTGTTGGAGAGCGAGGAGGTTGGCGCTTATATCTTCGCGGACGGCGGCATGCGGACATCCGCCTGTCTCGATGGCACGGATACGGGACGGGGAGAGAGCTTTGTTGCGGGTGAGGAATTCTGCATCTTCTCTATTGTGCATGTGTTAGTATCATTGTTATCAAATAGCTACTTTAGCAACCCACCGAGTAAAAATGTCATTCGTGACAGCAGCAATATTGTATTCGTCACGTAAGGCCATGCATAGCGCCAGCATCAGAGCAGTCTTTCCCGATCCCACTGGCCTGAATGTAAATAGCCGTTAGTATTGATACAACTCGTATCTTCTCATCCCCGCCAGTCAAGCTTTGCCAATGCAAGCCAGGTTAGCTTGCAGGGGAGAGACGATAATCGAACATGAGGTGAGAAAGAGAGAGAGAGAGGGCGAACGAACCCGCCAATTCCAATGGTAAAGGCTCTGTCATTCCAGTCGCGGTTCTCTATTAGCGGCTGCTCACGACTGATGTACGAGCCCGGCCCATCGAGTATCTCGTGGGTGTGACCGTGGTTGGTCGCATCGTGCGAGTGATCGTGCGAGTGTGACATGATTTCTCAAGCAGACGCCCTTTTCGATGTCGACTGTAGCTGTGTATGTAGCGGTAAGAAAGCTGGTCTTGCGGGTGGTTTGTTTGGTGGGAAGAAGTTGAAAAGTGGCAGGTCGACCAACCTCGGGAGTCGCAAAGCAAGGATCGGTGCCGTCGGTAAGCAGCGACGGCTAATTTTATTCGAAGGAGTCGGAGCAAGAATAAGTCCAAAAGACCATGAATATCAGGTAGAATTATATTAGAACAAAAGGTTGAATGTATTATCATCACCGTCGCCTAGCCGTCTACTCCAAAAAAAAAAAAAAAGTGGAACAAAAAAGGGGGACGTCAAGGCAAGCATATCATGCATTCCATCACACGGCCACGACCACGGCATATCCAAAACAGCAGAAAGAGGCACAAGTCCAAGAAGCCGAGCGGGAGATATAGCAGTTGAAACAGTAGAGACACAGACATAGGCACAGAGAAAAAAAACACTGGACTCCAAAACACCGTCTGTTGAAGAACAGAACAGAACACATGGAATGAGGAAAATGGGAGAGGAAGAGGGGAGGAAGAAGGATTCATAAACCGACAAGAGTATAAAGCGATGAACGAAGCGCCCCCAAGAGAAGTAAAGTGAATCTTGTAAATGGATGAGCGGGTTGAGATGAACAGCAAGGCGCCGGACAGGTAGTTGCAAATAAACGAGTAGAAGAGAAAGACGTTCAAAATGTATGAACGGAAAGGACCATAATCTCACAAGTCTCCGTTATTGGAGAGGGCGCGCCAGCGTGTAAGGATAAGAATACTAGGGGTAGATAGCATGACATGGCGATGCTTCATCCGGTTGATGAATTTTTCTTTTTATATAGTGTTGTGTCGTGTTATGAGTCCTTTTCATGGCTCAATGACCAAGAGGATCAGCTGGTCCCTTTCTGTCTCTTTCCGCCCACTCTAGGACTGGCTTTCACCTTGTTGGCATTCCCCTGTGTAGCTCCGTTGACATCCATGGAAGACGAATTGTCATCTCCTTCGGTCTTCACAGTACTCGCCCGACGGCGTTTATTAGTCACGTTTGGACTAGTGTTGGCACTGGTGCCCTGGCTGCCGCTTGTATTGGTGCCTTGCTGGCTCTGCTGGGCTGCCATGGCTACTGGGCCGGCAACAGGGTTTTGGGCAGGGCTGGGCGTGTGTGTTGGCCCGCCTATGTGGGGGGATCCCTGGACACCGGGGATGCCCAAGTGGCCCACGGCGGGAGAGGCGAATTGGTTAGTCCCGTTGATGCCTGGAGTGCGTTGACCGGGTGGCATGGGATTGATGCCGAGAGCTTGATTTTGCTGGGGAAATGTGGTTACTAGTTGGTGGAGGGCGTCAGGGGGAGAGAGGTGAGGGTGTTGTAGGGAATATTGGAAGAGGGTTTGCATTTGGGATATTATTTCAGCGACCTACGTGACTAGTCAGCTCTTTGTTTCCTGGTCGAAAGGGGGCTAGAGGGAACCGACCTCTAAGAAGCTCATGACTGCTACTGGGACTCCGTCGTCCGTGACCATAGAATCCGGTATAGACACTGAGGGGGTAGCGGAGAGTTTCTGTCTCTTGTTCAAGGGTTTACCCATCCTCGGGCTCTGTTTCTGCTCTGGGGATGGTGGAGGTTGCAGTTGGTGACGGGGTATATATTCTGTATGGCCGCCTGTGCCAATGTCGAGGAGTTCTATCTTGCCTGTGGGACCGTATTGGGCTACCAGAGTTCCGGTAGAAACAAGCTACGTATCCGTCAGTTAAAACTAACCGAAGTAAATAAATAAAAAAATGCAATGATAAAAGTAACTAACCTGACACCCGTTTTCAAACCAATATATGAAGGAGGTCTTTTGACTTTCTACAATCTGGCCACCGGTAGGAAGGTCTTTCTCTGCTATGTTTTCAACGATCATCTGAATCTGTTTTATTCCGCTGGTGAACTGGGTCCAGTAGTACCGAGCAAGTGCAGGCGTAGAGATTTCAAACTGTTTGGTCCCGCGTTGCGCATTAAAGACGACCAAACGAAGAACTCCATTTGGTGCATAGAACTGCTCCACGAATGACTGCCAATATGGCAATCCCGGCGAAGGATTTCGGTTCTAGAGTGTATCAATTAGTTACGGTTAAAATGTGATGTGGTTAAGATAACCTTACAGAATAGCCGCTGAGACACTCTGCAAAAGAGAATAATCTGATTATGGATGATCCTTTCATAGGATTTGCCATGCGCTGGGGTATCATCATCTGCTGCATAGCCTGCTGCTGAGCTATTCGCATCTGCCCGTCCGGCCCAGCCAACTGCTGAGGGGGTCCTACATGTTGACCCGGCGTAGGTTGTGGGGTGGGACCCTGTTGTGGTTGTTGCTGTGGAGGCTGAGGTCCAGCTTGCGAGGTAGGAGGTATGCCGGGTTGCTGGGAAGGGGCGGTTGTGCCTGGAGGTTGTTGGTGCTGTGGCTGTGGATGAGGAGTTCCACCCTGGGAATCATGCAAAGCTTGTGCTTGGGTGGTTCTTTGCTGTGCATTTTGCTGTTGAGCCTGAGCCTGGGCCTGAGCCTGGGCCTGAGCCTGAGCCTGAGCTTGAGCCTGGGCCTGGGCCTGGGCCTGGGCTTGTGCTTGAGCTTGAGCTTGTGCCTGCGCGGCAGCATTGTTCTGGTGAGCCATCTGCATGGCGAAGAGATGCTGCTGTTGCTGATGTAGGTTCTGGGCCTGTGAATGATGGTTCTGGGCCTGTAGATGTTGTTGTATGTGAGGAGGGATGTTTCCTGGGTGCATGACCGGGTTGCCGGCCTGGGCCACGGCCATGTGGGCCGATGTCACTGCCTGTGTTCCGTTAGGCATGGAGGCGGGTATACCAGCATGCTGTGGCTGCTGTTGTTGCTGCGGTTGCGGCTGGCCGGGTTGCTGCTGCTGGGCCTGCTGCTGGGCCTGCTGTTGTTGCTGGGCCTGTTGAGCTTGTTGCTGCTGCTGCTGAGCTTGCTGTACCCTTTGCTGTTGCTGTTGGTGGAGGAACATCTGCCGTTGGCGCATGAATTGCTGTTGTTGCAGGTGATGTTGCTGCAGGAGTTGTGGGTTATTTGCAACTATATCTATTAGTATTATAGACGCACACACATATATTTATATATAGATCATAACATACAGTTCTGAGCCAGGTGCGGCGACTGGAACATCTGGTGCGAGTGAGCAGGCCCTAGATGAGAGAGAGCATGAGCATTAGGGCCAGGTCCTCCCGGCCCCGAGACGGGCTGCATTCCGGCGGCCATTGGGCCCGGTTGGGAGGCCTGGGGAGCTCCGGGTGCGGAAACACCAGCATGGACCTGCTGAATCATGCCGCCGCCGGGAGCCTGGGCAGCGAGATGCGCGGCACCCGGATGCTGAGCTGGAGCCATTGGGTGATTCTGGACCATGCCTGGATGGTGCGCCATGCCGACTTGGGGAGCAGGAAACGGCTGCGCCATCATCATTTCCGATTGACCAAGTCACCTAGCAGACCGAATAGAAAAGAATAGCCCCCGGAGAACACGCGACAAGAGGCAGGCACTGCTGATAAGTGCTGATATTCGGCGTGTATCGACGCGATGCGACCTGTTCTATCCAGTTTGTCCCCAGTCTCTGTCTCCCGAGTCTCTCTAACCCCCGCGGTATATATATGTATATATATCCAAGATCAAGCCACAACAGGACGCCGGCAACAGAATGTATCTCCCTTATTCCGAATATAATACCATCAATCGAGCGCCAAAAAAAAGGAGAGACGTGAGCGGCAGTTCTGGGGGGTGTTTTCGAAGGGGCAGATTTCAAGCAGGCTGGGGGCGGGAAAAACGAAGGAGGGCGTATCAGGAGCTCGGAGGCGGCGAGGTCTTCCGCCTGAACACCATCAGGTCGAGAGCAGCGCAGGTTTCTCTTCTTCTCTGCTCTTCTTCTTCTTCTTCTTCTCTTCTTCTTCTTCGTCTTCTTCGCCCTTTTTCTTCTGCTTTTTCGTCTCCAACAAGCAAAAAAAGAGGCAAAAGACGTTCAAAAAGACGCTAAGCCTTTTTGGGATAAGATCACGTGGTGACTTTTTTTCTCACTTTTTTTTTTCGCTTATAAAAATGAAAAAGTTTTTCTTTTCTTCTTTTCTTCTTTTTCATCTTGAAGAAGATGAAGACGAAGAAGTTGAAGATGAAGATGAAGATGTAGCTAGAGGTATGTAAGAACATCTTCTGCCTGTTCCGTGATGACAACCTTTTTTTCTTCTTTCGTCTCTGAGTCGCCCTTGAAGAGACAGTCGGATCTTCCCTCTCCGGTTGATCTGTTGCTTGCCAGTATATTTGTCTGACTGGAACTGCTACTCATTATATTATGCTGCTTCTGCTCGACGGATGACCTTTGCTGACTTGTATAATCCAGGTGTTGACAACGGTAGTGGTAGCTGTAGCTCGACACAGCTCTCGAGCTAGCCATGACAGAGGTAAGCTATACTCCTACACCCACGCCTACACCTCCTCCACACCTACACCACTCTATGATGAAATTTTTTCCTACATTCGCAGTTTCCACGCTAGCTGTCGCATGAACCTATTAAGTCGACGTGTCGTTGAGCGGATTATCTTCCTTGGATGTCTGATTCTTGTCATTCAACACGCTTGTTCTTCTCTCTTGACCAACTTGCTGTTCCTCGCTAACAGTTGCAGATTTACAGGTTTATCTCTCGTATATAGATAGCATGTCTAGTCAATGAACAATCTTATGATACTTGAATTCTCTTTTTACTCTCTTCTCTCTGTAAAGCTATGTTGGACCTCAAGCTCGGGAAAATTTTGTAGGCTCCGGAAAAACAATAATCCGGGTATCAGATCAAAATCTATCAAAGCATCAAAGAAAACGACATCAAAGGTCAGCAGCGCCGATGAGTCGAAGACATACTCGAAATACTCCAGCCCAGTGGCAGCAGTGCTAGATCTGCCCTGGATGCTCGTCCAAATGCAATGCGCGCTACGCTCGGTGCGTTACGGGCACTCTAGAGCAGCCCGTTCTCTCGCCTCCAGCTCCAGACACCGTCGACATGCTCGGCACCAGCGCTCCTTTCACGCCTCGAGCGTATACAGAGAGTCCCCAGATGGGCCAAACAACCCGGCAGACACGCCGGTGAATAGCAGCAGACCAATTGAAGGGGATACGGCAGCCCCGGAGGCGAAGAAAGGCGCCGCGGCAACAGAGGGGAAGGACAAGAAGAAAGACACGGGCCTGCAGGGGAAGAAGGACAAGGGATACAGTCCGTACGGATCGGGCGCTCGACGGGCGATGAGGAATCGAAAGGCGGAAGATAAGACGGCCAAGTCGGTTGCGGTTGACTTGCCGGCCTGGTTCCATCGACGGAACCTCAAGATATCAGATCAGTCGGCGCAGGTTTCGGAACTTCTCCCTCTGGACGTGCAGATATCTCAGCAGAGTGTGAAGGAGAGCGTGGAGGGAGAAGGTGAGCTGCGTGAAGGCCAAGGAGGCGACGATGGCAGCAGTGGTAAGCCGGAGGATGGAACACCGTCGAACTCGGACTCTCGATACACTCTTAGCCCAGAGGTATGGCAGGAGCTTAGAGCGGCGGTCCAGGCTGGTCTCTCCTTACCTGCTGCCCGGTATGCCCACGATCCAGCATCTGCGAAGCCTCATCTTGTCTTTCAGTACCCTGGTGATGGTGGAATTCTCTTTCTCGACGCCGTGGTCAAGAGCCTGGCTACGGACCTGAATACCAGCATCGTCACTTTGAACGCGCAGGATATCGCCGAACTATACGGCCAGCAACGACAGGAGAACGATCAGCTGTCTAGTTCTATGATGCTCTTGCTTGGCTATGACGTCTACCGGCCTCGACAGCGACTGTCACAGAAGGAACTCGAGGAAGAGACAGAAGAGAAGGAAGAAGAGGAAGAGATGGAAGACGAAGAGTCAGATCGCTGGTCTTCTCAGTCTGGCACTGTTCCCGTCACAAAGATCAATGCTGATATCTCGGGCATGATCAATCCGTCCATGCTGCAGTCTCTGTTTGGCGGAAAGGGATCCTTTGGAATCGCCAAGGTGGTTCTTCCCAGTAGTGAGCGGAAGGGCGATATGGATTCAGACGAAGACGTTCGATGCCTTCGATTGATTAATGAGCTGCTGGATGTACCCTTGGGCAAACGTGTACAGGCCGATCAAGCAAAGGAAGAACCAGCATCTTCTACCCCTGAGCCTGTTCAATCTGCTGAAAGTATCACCATCACCAACACTATAAATTCGTCAACACCCTCACCCAAAAAGCGAACTCTCATTCTTCAAATACAAGACTACCAGGACCTGCTGAGTTCCCGGGGAGGATCCTTCTTTCTCTCATTACTACATAGAACAGTTATGCGACGACGGCGCAACGGTGACCAGATAGTCATTGTAGGGACCGTCTCCGAGCCCGAAGCTGAGAAAGGCTACGAGAAAGCCTTCCCAAGACTAACACCGAGAGACTACGATCAGCGTGCGTCAACCATCGTTGTGCCTCCCGCCATCTCGTCAAAGGCTGCAGAAGAGATATTCTCCAAAGACGCAAAGAAGAGGATACTCGAAATCAACATCCGTCATCTAAAGGGTATGCTGAAAGCCCGGCTCAGAGGGTCCGAAACTGCTGCTCAGAGCATTCTCAATGATCAGCCCTGGGAACTGGATGAGGATCTTGTTCGAACTTCAGGCCTTGATACTGGGTACTGGCCGTTTGATCTTGTTCATCGCATATCCACACTCACCCTTGGTTGCGTAAAGCAGGACGAATGTCTGACACTGGATCATATCGCCAGAGGTATCGAGCTAGTAGGGAAAAGTGACCAGGTCAAATGCGACTGGCTCGGCGAGAGGCAGACCAAGGCCAAACCGTCAAAACTGTCTCCTCACAAGGACAAGCGAAACAAGTTACGGCCAAAATGCAACACGCATGAAGAGAAGCTCCTCAACGGCGTGGTCGACGCAGAGGGCATAACGACTACTTTTGCAGACGTCCATGTCCCGCCAGAGACCAAGGAAGCTCTAAAGACACTTACCTCCCTTTCTCTTATCCGGCCCGAGGCATTCACATACGGTGTCCTTGCGACTGACAAGATACCCGGACTACTCCTATACGGCCCTCCAGGAACGGGTAAGACGATGCTTGCCAAAGCCGTAGCTCGCGAGAGCGGTGCCACTGTGCTCGAAATCAGTGGGTCAGACGTATATGACATGTATGTCGGAGAAGGCGAGAAGAACGTTCGCGCCATCTTCACGTTGGCCAAAAAACTCACTCCCTGTGTTGTTTTCATTGACGAAGCGGATGCGATATTCTGCTCTCGAACAGGCGCAAGTAACCGCACCTCTCACCGAGAACTTATCAACCAGTTCCTCCGCGAATGGGACGGCATGAACAGTCTCTCCGCCTTCATCATGATTGCTACAAACAGACCCTTCGACCTAGACGATGCCGTACTCCGTCGTCTCCCACGTCGCCTCCTAGTAGACCTACCAACCGAAAAGGACCGACTGGCCATTCTCAACATCCACCTCAAGGACGAACGTCTCGCGCCCTGCGTAGATCTAGCTGACATTGCTGAAAAGACACCGTTCTACTCTGGCTCCGATTTGAAAAACCTCTCAGTCGCAGCGGCCCTGGCTTGTGTTCGAGAAGAGAATGACATCGCGGCACAGCACAAGGGAGACGAACCCTACAAATACCCTGAACACCGTACCTTGCGCAAAGAACATTTCGACAGAGCAATGGAGGAGATCAGTGCATCTATCAGCGAAGACATGTCTTCCTTGACTGCTATACGCAAATTCGATGAGAAATACGGTGATCGCAAAGGAAGACGGAAGAAGGCTCATGGCCTGGGCTTCTCTGCTCCCAACGCAGCTGATGCACCGGGTGCTGAGACCGGCCGTGTCCGCAATTAGTCTCGAGGCAACTTCTTGATATTTCCTGTATACTACTTACAGTCTTGTCTCTTTTGTATGCTTCTTTTTCTTTTACTTCAATTCATGGCCGTTGGGGGGAAAATATAGAGGAAATGTACCATTATCTCATGAATTAATAGATCGACATTATTTTCTAATCGCTCAGGTATCAAGACCTATATAAGAACTTCTGGTTGGTGTGGAGTTGTCAACGGAAATAATACAACGGTTCTAGGAGACTTTTCTTAGAAAAACATAGCAGCCGCCAGCGGCTGCTCACGCGTAGATCTTAATGCCTACAAAAATATGTGAATGTACCCATATCAACGAAAGTCTGCGAGAAACTGGCCCGAGAGAAACAAGAGAGACGGAACGGCACAGAACCACAACATGAACTCCATCCGTAGTTTTCCATCCTTTTCCAGGTCCGGAATGATAATCTCCTTCTCATGTTTCTGGAAATCCTCATATAGGGACCGGATAGAATAATATTCGTTTCTCCAGCATTTGTCGATGATTTCACGGTACACCAGCGCCTCAGTATCAGGAACTTCATCCGGACGCGGGAAACGGTCCTCTTCAAAATATTCATAATGGAACACCCTCCATGCAGAAATTGAATAGACCACACAACCGATTCCTGACAAGTCTACTTTCGCATGCGGGTCTTCCGTGTAGACCTTCTCCATGTCCGTGTCAAGAGGGAAGATCAGGCCGTTGCCAAAATCAGTGATCTTGACTGAACCCTCGTGAATGAGGATGTTGTTTGGCTTGATGTCATAATGAAGCACTTTGCTAGAGTAGATGTGATGAAATCCAGACATTAGAGATCGGATCCAGGCTATCCGTACTGCTTTGGACGGCATCTTGTTCCTTGGTATGTAGTCTTCAAGGTCGCCTTGTTTTGCATAGGCTAGTTTGATCGCCCCAGAGTCGTCCAAAGGGCCGTGGTACTGGATGATGCTGTCATGCTGACCCAGTCGTTCATATATCTGGCGTTCAATTCCGATCATCTCCAGTTGCATTTCGTTATATGCTTCCCGTTGCTGGGCTGACGGGGGTGCTAACTTGGGGTGTTTGACGATGTAGGAGTCCCCTACCTTACAGATTATTCCAGAACAGCCAACGGTAATGAACCCAGGGTAATATGGCATTACGAGGGGTGAAGACGCCATGTCTATCTTCCTGCTTGTGTAGAAATGTAAGATAATAATGATGGTGTTAAAACGAGTGGATGATGGAGATTAGTGAAAAGCGCCTGGGTTGAATCTTTATATGTAACTAACTAGTTAATTTTTCTTTTTACATATTAGTAATAGTCATTTGACTAGTCAGGGGCTTATTGAGCTTTTTTACAGAATTTCGTTTCTCAGCTAAATATCAACAATAGTAACCAAAGAAAGGCTCAGAGGCCATGTTGAGATGAACCCTCCATTCACTTGACAGGCAGAAAGCAAACAATCGTGCTGGCGTTGAGGCCAGTGAATCTGTTCTCGGGGGCTGCTGCCTAGCTTCACTTCAAGGGATGCTTGCTGCTGTTAGTTCAGTTTGATAATGAAGGTCTAGACCGGATATGCGCACCTGTACTCCGTACTTAGGCACCAACGGTGATGCCCCTTGACTGGGTGGATCCACCAGCAGCCCCAGCTCCGGCTCCTCCAGCTCCAGTATCGTCGCCATTCTTTGGTTTTGATCGGGCTTTCTTTTGACGGCAGTCAAGGCAAACATTCAATCTACCCCGACTGCGACTGGAGCCCTTTGCAGCCTTTTCTGGTGTATCGCAATTCGTCCCCCTTTCCATGGCGTCAAGACATCGGTGAAGTTCTGGTTGCTCTATGCCTGGGCCTCTATGGCCGCATTTCCAGACTTAAATTACTTGGTCTTCTAGGATACACATCGTCTATTTTTTCTGTGACACTCATTGGCAGGTTTAAGTATAGCGTGTGATGACAGAACTGTTAAGGGCGTATGTCTAGGTATGCAAAGGTGCCTTGAGAGCTCGTTGAATTCCTATCTATACTATCACGGTAAATACCACTTTATATCTTGATGAACAGGGCATACCTCATGCACAAGGCTGTGTCTAGCATATGACTGCCTGGCTTTCAGTGTTATCATGGCTCATTCCATTGCCCTGTCTTCCAACAGATGGGGCATGATAGCAGTTGGTGTGGTCTCTGATTCGATAAACATATCAAGGTCTTCCCCTCACTACTGTGAGCTCTTTTGATATTATGCCGCATTCTATGAAGGCACCTGATTCAATCGGACCCAGCAGTATTTCACCAGGTTTATGTAACTACATCCCTGCTGAAGCTGATGCTTTCCGAAACTATCCATGTGAGCTCAGGGATACATACTATGTAGTTATCAGTTTTGAGGCTATAAATGTACTTAGCTTAATTTGATCAAAGATCAGAACCGTAACCCGTCTCCTTTGACAGCATCGTCCTTTGAATAGACATAGAGTGGAGGTTGAAAATAACCACCATCCGTCATACAAAAACCTAAAGTGAGTATTTAAGTTAATTAAGCGGGCAGAGCGGGTCCTCAGGTGGGGAACACTTTGATGATGCTCAATATATATTCTGTTACAAAACGAACAAAGCATTCCCTTCTTAAGCTCAATGCACTCGTAAGTGCTTGTTACATCACTATTATCTATCGCAGGATACATCCACTATCTATCGTAAACAATAAGCGTTTATTAAATCGTCTGTTCTCACAGGGTTCAACATTTTCAACCCGGAACCCCCTGTGATCGGATAATGAATGTACTATGTAAATTGTCAGAATCTGCCATTCGGCCGAGCCCGCACCAATTGGCGGCAGAGAGACTGGTTATATTTTGACATAGATTTACGAATTCCCATCGCTATGCTTTTTAATAGAGTATAAAATATAAGCAGGAGCAGCGAATTATGATTGGTTGAATGCGTAAGAGAGCATACAGGGGTGTATTCGTGAGCTTGTACATAGTAGAGCCTACGTACGAGGATAAAATGTCTGCTCGAATAGTTATATGGGCAGAAGCAAGAGTACTTGAGATGACTAGTTATTGACTAAGTAGTTACAACATTCGACATGGAGTTTGGTTGTCCACCCACTCCCATCCAAACACCAACACCAACACCTGTCTGCAGATACACTATAGTTAAGTTTGCAGGCATAATCAAGGTCTCATATGGTTTCAGGTGATAGAGGCAGCGGCAGTGCGATCAATTTCCGCCCCGGTCATTCAATGGGAACCATCAACAAAGCGGAACAGGCCATTCCCATCGGAGCATCTTGCTGTTTGCTAAACAGTACGTGTAAATAGTGTTCTGGGGGCCAGCAGGGTACCGTTGTAGCTTGGTTAGATTCATCTGCCAAAATATAACTTGAGGTCGAGACGTTATCGTTTCACTAAAGGAGCAACCAAGCATATCTTAAAACCATTGGATACCAGGAAGCTATTAGACATTCACCCTTTGGTTTAAGAAAGTATTAATTCACCGTACGCCATGTTCACGTTTGCTCTATAATACAAAAGCCCCTCGCTGGGGTTTCCACAGTCAACCCTTTTGCCACCAAGGGAGGCAGCGCTAGATCAAATACCCTGATACACCTTACTACCAATGTGTTGTTCTACTGCCTTAAATAGTTCGTCAGGTGGAGTCGCTTGATCCTCGTGGCTTATAATGACATATCCTGAACTCTTAGACATAGCTTTATCCTATAGTTAAGCAGATTAGCTGTTAAGCACTTGAAGGCGCCAAGACCTTTCGAAATTCAGAGATTTTCAGGCGCAACTTCAAGTAGAAGATTAGGAGGCTTCACTAACTAGTTTGACTAGTCGCCTTCTGTCCCAACTATAGAAATGTGAGTTAATTTAATATACTTATTGCCCATTTTGGCCGTTTATAGATCGTACCCGTCTTCGTACTCCCAAGGAGCCTTTGATTTAGGGTAAATAGCAATATGTCACAAAACTAGCGGGTACATAAAAGAATAAACAATGAGGTACGGGCAAGCCATGAGGCCTAGTTAGACAGAGGAATGATGATTGAGAGGCGTGCTGGCAAGAGATGATGTCAAATTTATCAATGAGTTGTGGTATGAGATTCCTGATACGGTTAGCATGAGCTTATCTAATGAAGCAAATATCTGTTGGACTACATAATGTCTACCATTGCGAGCCGAATAAGAGTGGATGACATAATCCAACTATAGCCGATGTGCATATTGGAACGGGAAGTTATCATCTCAGATAATTAGCGCGGCCAGAACAGATATTTTACGGGATAGAGATGCGGCTTATATGGAAGTACAGGCATAAAAGGAATCCATATCCCGCCTGCTAGATAGGTAGTCTAGCTGCTTTGCTGTGCCCTGTTAGACTTCATATCATCATGTGACACATAGTTAATGGATCCATTGGCTGACATCCAATCACATGACATACACTCAATTTGCCTTGGGCCATATTTCTACGCGTCACAATGAAAGTTGTTGTAGCCAGACTCTGAAGGTTTTTTCGCTCTGGGCCGCAAACGAGTGCATTATAGGTTTCTCTTAGAAAGAATGCGAAATTATATCTCTTCATTCTTGCGGAGGACAAATGTTTCTCAGAAGCAAACAAGCCGGGGTCTACGTATCCTATGTCGAGGTACTTACGAGTCTATTCAGTTTGTTTATATGACTGCTAACTTTAGTCAAGGCAAAACCATAAGTGCAGAACAACTTTTTGAGTATACGAATGGTAATTTCCTCGTTAACGAGAAGATCCAATTTGACCGGCGTTATGTGAAATTCAACCTGGATGCTCTCTGTGCCCTCGCGGCTACTGCGGGAGGCCAAGTATCCCCAGTGAGAGTGGTTGAAAAGATGGAAGGTGGCTTCAGTAAGGCACTTTTAATGATAAAGGAAAATGGAATGGAGGTTATTGCAAAGATTCCCTGTCGCAATTCTGGACCGGCAGTGTATACTACTGAATCGGAGGTTGCTATATTGAAATATGGCAAGATAAGGTCCTATATCCACTCATTGACATTCAATCAACTTATTTATGCGTTCATAACTAGTGAAACAGCATACAAATGTTCCTGCCCCAGAAGTATATGCGTGGTGCTCGGATCCTGCGAACCCTGTAGGCGCAGAATATATCATCATGGAGAAGGCAGCAGGTGTTCCACTTTTCAAGATATGGGGTGAGATCTCACAATTAGACAAATTGGAGCTTATTAAGCGACTTACGATGATCGAACATGAGCTCTCTTCAATTCAACTCCCTGCCTATGGTAGCCTCTATCTCCGGTCATCTTTTGGGAATTCACCGACTTGGAAACCTCTTAATATAGAAGTCGACCCTTCCCAGTCATACTGTGTAGGCCGCACAGGTGACAGATCGTACGTGCCAGAGGACTGTGAGGGAATGGAGGGATCCAGCATCGATCTAGGCCCATGTGAGAATACCTGGCTATACTTTTTGTGGCCTTTCTAACATTTCCCCCCCATTAGGGAATACATTGTCTGCGTTAGGCATTGCAATTGCTAGTCGAGAAATCTCTCGTGTTTTGCACGCCCCATCACCTCACCCAGGGACATTCTACCAAGGAAGCTCTACAGAGAGGACAAGTCTGCTCGAAAGCGCTCTCTGCGTCATGAAACTACTGGACTCGAACCCTACTCTCGCACAGCCCGCAAAACCTGTCATCTGGCATACAGACCTTCACATGGGAAACATATATGTGTCTCCTAATAAACCATCGCAAATTCTTTCGCTCATTGACTGGCAATCAATATCGGTCCTTCCTTTGTTCCTACAAGCGCGATGGCCTGTTTTCCTAGAGCCACCTCAAAATTTCCCCAAGGGGTTCCAACAACCAAAACTACCTGAAAACTTTCATGAGCTAGATGCAGAAGAACAACAACTAGCAAGATATGAACAGCAACAAGCTATGGCAGCAAAGGCATACGAGGTTTCTAGTTTTCTTCAAAATCGAGCAGCTTATACCGCAACGAAATTTCCTCGTGTTTTCCGGGAATTTTTCAAGCGCTGTGGCGAAACGTCAGAGGTTGGCGTCCTCCCTCTTCGCGCATGTATGATAGAGATATCCCAAAGCTGGTCTGAACTAGGCTTTTCTGGTGAATGCCCTTACTCCTTTAGTCAAGAGGAGATAGCTGAGCATGACACTCAGTTTAGAGACTATGAGGACTGGTATAAGGCACACGAAATAGCGAGAAAGTGCCTGGATACAGACGAAGATGGATGGATATCCCCTGAAATGGATATTGTAGAGAAACGCCGCCAAAACCAAGAACTACTTGATATATTTGTTGAACAGATGGCGAGTGAGAAATCTAGAGAAGAATCACGGCGAATGTGGCCGTTTATCGAGGGCTACGGGGTTGTTCAGAAGAGTTTATAGCTAGGACATATGTGGAGGGGTATTTGGTTATTCCTACTTTTATATTAATACCTATGTTCAAACCAATGCACGAGTCTCAGGACCGGGAGCTATAGAGAGCATATAAACACAGTGTTCTGCTTATTTGCAATCAATAATGCTTGGTTTGTGCGTATAGATCTATGTACAAGGTAGCATAAACGTAGGTTACTCTCCACTTAAGGCCCGGCCCGCTTACCTTAAATTAGATATGCACTTCGCATTAGGCTCTGGCTTTTATATGACAGATGGTAGTTCGGTACTGTTAGCAAAGAAAAAAGGTAATATAAACTTGTTGAATACGGCCGCTAAGTACTAAGGGTAACGAGTGAATAAGCTAAAGGTATCGGTAGCGCCATACTTAACTAACGACAATAAATACCACCTCATCTAGGTGAATTAAACAATATATGGATTTGAAGTGTAACAATATATAACACGCCTTTACTATTCTCTTGCTGAGGCCACAATCTCCATGACAAAAATCATGGTAAAGAGTTTTTGGTAGGTCAAACCCTAAATCTATTCACTCCTCAACATGGATTTCGTAACAAAAGTGAAAATGCCCGAAGGCTAGGGATGTTTTTATGGTAGCAATGATGGACGACCGCCCTTCCCCCCCGATAACCCTCCACTTAGCTACAGGATTAGTTAGCATTGTAAGCATATTAGTGTGCAATACTTACGCTTGCCAGTCTTTATAGCAGGTTATCTTTCGCCTGGCCTGCAACATCTTTCCAAAATGCCTTGGCAGCATCCTCTTGCTCTTCTTCCGGGGTGTTCTCATCTATGGTTCCCACTGCGAGGTTGCTATGTGTTCCGTGTTTCTTTTTCCACTTTTAGAGGGCATCGTTCTTTGCTTGTGAGTTTACCTGTAAGTAAACCCGCTTAATGCCGTTTATCGTTTCGCCAGCGTCAAGTCGGACTTGGTATATCTTGTCGTTGTCACCAGCCTGTGGTAGTCCAATGCGTTTTCCCGGGGTTTGCTTCCGAAACAACTTTTTGTAAGCACTTCCCTTGAAGAATGCTTCTTCAAACTGCTTGAGAACCTTGGACACCGTGCTTTTATGATCTAGCAATAATAGTGATATAGAAGAAACTCACACATGGAAATGAGAGATTAAACACTCAGAAATTCAGAGAGCTGCTGCCTTAGTTATATTAAAAACTCGTAAACTGCTCCTCGCTAGGATGCTATATTTAGTCAAGTTAAGAATCCCCACGGCTTACACCAAGCGCATAAATGGGGGCCAAAGAGGTTTGCAGCTCAGCAGAATTGAAAAGCCTGTTAAGAGGCGATATAATAGGATGAAGAATCTCAGCATCTAGCCAACTGTTTCACAATAACTACCCCTGCTATTATGCAGCTAAGCAAAAGATACGTGACATCCAACGCATATGGACTAAGATCCTATTGGCCCATTGCCTTGGCTGTATGTAGGTCGCAGCGCGTAGAGGCACTATTATTAGCTGGACCTATATACCCAAAAAAGATCATATCTAGTCAGAAGACATATTGCATTGCTAGGACTTATATCGTAATAACTAGGAATCATAGGAAGAGGACTCAAATACAGATTATCGCATGGCTATGAAATTAATATGAAAGCACATGATTAGTAGACGGGATTTGGGAAAATAGTCAAGTAAAGACCTTGTGCTGGATGCAGAAACCTATATAGAACAGGAACTGAGAGTTTCTGCTCTGGGTGCCAAGTCCTGGATGAATTGGTGAGGGATAACTTACCCGCTATAACTAGGAGTCAAGAACTACTTCTGAACTTAGTGTTAATTGTTATTTAATAAACGAATAGCAGTTACTTTTGAGTTAACTATACTAGACAAATATTCTAGATAAGTTATACACAGTATGCAGCTTCAATTACCACTAACTATATTACTACATTTGTTGATGCCCTGGTTTACTCCATAATGAAGTATGTATAGACAGAGGACAAAATAAAGACAAAGAGCTAGCAATCAAAGCTGGGGTTAATCAGTCATCTTATATTCTGGTGTAATGAAGCAGAGAAAGCTGCACTGTTCATTCGATATTTGCATCTATTATCAATAATAAATCCGTAAGCTATCCATCTACCAAAAGTGGGGGTGTAAAAATAAATTCACAAAGAGCACTCACTTTTGCATTCCCAAAATGCTGGTCGGCCTTCAAGGAGGATTCACTTTTTGTCCTTTTTGCCCTTTGACGATTCCTCACCGTTGTCGTCGTCTGCGTTGCATGCCTTGTATGCTTGTTCGATAGTGGACTTGAAGTTGTTTTCATCAAAATTTCTGCGATTAAACGGGATTTCGATGATGGTTTTATGGGTTCCTGAGTGCGAGCCTTTGTTGCCTTTTTTTATAAATTCTTTGACTCCCTGGTCCGTGGCTTGAGTATTTGCCTGCACCTTTGCTGTGGTCCAATCGGGCTGAGTCATATGCTTATGAAGATCGATGCGGAGATTCACTGTCTTAACGACGTTGTTTTTCGTGGTAACGTTTCCGGGAAATTCTGCCGTAAGTTTGGCAATCGCTTTAGGAGTAATTCCTTCAGCAAGGCTCTTGAGAGAACCCTTCAAACCCATTATTGGAGTATTGACTTGCTGTTTGGAGACTATGTTGCAATGGATATTCAGTGATAATGTAGAGCATTAAAGTGTACAATGGGGTGGCATACGAAAGCTCAAAGGTATAGAGGAAAGTATACACCCTTTATTTATAACCTTCAGCTGCGTGCCATTCGTACATCAGACTGGGCGCTAATTCTAACTCCATTGGCTTTTTTAGTAAATAAAAATAGTCGATCTAGCTCGGTGAACCCCACTGGGGGTGAAGCGTAGTTTGAGATATGGGCGTTGGGCTTGCGTATACCCATGTTGATTGGTATCATGGTTGAACATCCCGATATTGCATGAAAAGTAATCCTAAGTTGTTCTGGGAATACATGTCTCTGTGCCGTTTTTTAGGCGTGTTGGTGATATGGACCGTAGACTATTACGTGACTCAGCATAGGCATATACGGCGCCAGGTAAGCCGGAATTGATAAAAATAGCCATATCAAATCACTGACTAAAACTTATGCTGTTTTGGGTATTCACCTCCCTTGGAGGCTGATAGGATGGTGGGAACCGGCGGGATATCAATGAGAAGCTAGGGTTTATCCGCTCCTACAGCCAGGCCAATGAATAGCACATAACGGCAATTTAATTATAGGACATATAGGGAATTAGCATGTAGGGTACGGTACAGCGTAGAGACCCGGTACCAATGAGCAAGCTCATGTAAGCGCCAGACCCTGGATATTACACTGCCAAGTGAGCACATAGTAATGATTGTCCGACAACGAAAAGAAAGTGGGCCCAAACCTGATCTGATGTTAAAAATAGACTATCTGTTGGGTCAAACGGAGACATTCCGCGGCGTCTAAAGTTATGCCCTTCGGCCAAAACGGCGAGCCCGCACCCCGAGATAGTAGAGAGCCTTGTACTGCAAGGTACTCTGTCAGGCAAGTGACAGATACTCCCAAAGGACTAAAGGCCTAATGTCCAATAGGAATCATTGGGTCTCTGTATAGCCAGCACGCGCGTGCCGTAACAACCTTGGGACTAGGCGGATCACATAATTTATCATTGACAATTATCTGTACCTCCTTCGTGATGAGTAGAAAACATCACAAAAAATAGGTCAAATTTTAAAGATTACTATATAATAGAATGGTTGTTCTCGAATCTAAGCAAATTTTAAAAAAATCGGACACGCAGTATCTACGATGCCAAGTAGCTGTCAGCCAACCAATATCATTAAAGTTTCCATTAGTTATCCATTAGTTATATCACGTGATATAGTTAAAAGACATGATGACTAAAGGTAGTGCAAGTAATGTTGGATTAGTCATCCATTCGACTATGTTTCCATGGGCCTTTTTTGTCCCGTGGTCTCATGGCCCGAGGTCCTGACAAGTAACAGCCAGCTCCTTATTTATTGGGTTATTCTTCACCAGCTTATAGTTCACCAAAGCCAACTTGCTCTCTCGACAGGATCTAACTCGATACCTGTTGAAAATAACGTCTTTAAGCTGTAATGCGGTTTATATTCCGGTCTCAGTCACTATATTACCGGTCCTTTAGGCACAGCTCTCCTCGACATTGTTCCTGGAAGCCGGTCGTTACAACATTCAATACAGATTCAATGCCAATGCGTTGTGCCTATCATGGGAAGACAACACCTCGCCTCACTACAGAGGGGGATGATGGAGATTGTATGCGTCCCTCGAATACGCAACCCCTTTGATAATGCTAATGTTGGCAGTGAAAGATATTTCTGAAGAAGAACTCTTCAATTATACCAGGAACCGCTGGATGTAAGTCCTTTTCCAAGCAATATATTTCACTAGCGCTGACCTAGGATAGATATAACGAATCTTTACAACTGTCTCTAAGATATCTCAAGTTTGACCTTCGACAACTTCTGAAAGCTGCGGTCGCTGCCGTCTCTAGCGAAGGTGCTCATTATTGTATGCTCCCAGTGCTCTCTACTCCTATTCAAATCCCCACTTACATATTATCTAGGTACCAAAGTACATAAGTGCCAAGAAGGGTTAAATAATAAGGTTTTTATCCTGACGATGGACAATGGCTTAGAAGTTGTAGCAAAACTTCCGAATCCGATAGCTGGCCCTGCTTATTATACGACCGCATCTGAAGTAGCGACTCGAGCATTTGTATGTATATTTCTTACCCTCGCTATAAAGCGTATGAGGTCTAATATTTGGCTTACTAGCTTCGTGATGTCCTGAATATTCCTATTCCTCGTATAATCGCCTGGTCAGCAGATCAGAGTAATCCTATCGGAGCAGAATATATTTTGGAAGAAAAAGCGCCAGGCACACCGCTAGGGATGCTCTGGTACCAATGGAAGATGAAGTCTAGACTTGAGATGATAGACCAAATCATACAAATCGAAGGAAAGCTTGCATCCACAAAATTTTCAAAGATCGGCTGCATCTATTTCAGTGATGATTTTCCAGATAAGACACCTGGTGGTTGTATTCTATCAACTAGCTCTTCGTTGCCTTCGTCTGTATTGGAGCGCTTTACTCTGGGGCCACTTGTGTCAAGTGACCTGTGGCGCGGCGATAGGGCTAGTATGAATTTGAACTGTGGGCCATGTAAGGATCCCTTCCAATTATGGCCATTCAACAGAGCTGACTATCAAACAGTCAATCAGCCATTGGATTTGGTAGAAGCTATGGCAAAAAATGAAATACAATACACTAAGGAACACGCCCGCCCCTACATGAATTATCATAGGTCATCTACAGAAGCTCAGTCGCCGGATGAACTCCTTGAACTTTTGAACCGGTATCTTAGACTTATACCCGCCATGATTCCTCCTGAAGGCGCTGAAGATACTCATTCACCCACACTCTGGCACCCGGACCTTCATCTTGATAACGTATTTGTCGACCCTGAATCACACAAGATCACTCGTATAATTGATTGGCAATCCGCGGCAGTTATGCCCCTCTACTATCAATATACCATTCCAAGAATGTTCGAACACCCTGGTGGTGTGCCCCACGGCTGGACCATGGCACTACCGGAGAATTATGACAGCTTAAACCAAGAAGAGAAGGATAAGTTTGAAAGTGACCGGAAGAGCATTGCTTGCCAAAAGTATTATGAGGTTGAAACACGAGCTCAAAATCCAAGACATGTCGCCGCTTTTCAACTCCAGAACCTTGATGTACGGATTGAACCATCTCGCGTTGTTGTGAATGCATGGGAAGGTGAAGCGGTCTATTTCCTCCGCCGTGCACTACACGCAATAGTCAGACAGTGGGGTGATCTGTGTCCGGGGTTAGGACCATGTCCTGTCAGTATTGATGCCCAAGAGCTGAAGTTACATGCAGCGGAAGAGGAGATTTCAAACAGTGTTGCTGAGATCTTAACACTTTTTCGCGATGCATGGGGGGTACCTCCGGATGGAATGGTACATCCGGCTGATTTTGAGCGAGTAAAGGCTGCGGTAGCGGAACGAAGAGATGCCTTCTTTGAGAGTGCAGATAATGAGACTGATAAAGAGCTCTATAAAAGAATATGGCCTTACCAGGATAAAGATTTGTAACTGGTATGTTGGTCATTTCAGGCTGAAATTCGAGGTACTCTTCTAGCCAAAATCGAATACTAAGAGTCGCTTATTATCCCTGTTACCAACAAACAATATAAGCTTTATTTTCATATCTAGCATTCCTTGAGAGAGGGATAGGATAGGGAAATGATGATCCGATTGCAAAAGTCTAACTTATGTATTATTTTAACCACGGCTGATGTCTTATGATATCTATGGCGGTACAACGTTTATAAAGTAGGTATAATTGAAACAGGAATAAATGGAAGCTGAACCAAAACATGTCGTAACCAAGCCTTTGCGTTCAACAGCCTTCTGTAGGGACCCATCTCAAAGTCTATATTTAGTATCTTAGCTTACTTCCGTCAAGCTGAACATTGTAGGTTCTCATAGGCATAGTCAAACACGGTGAAAATGCCTATTATATGAATAATCGAACTGAGTACCACAAGTATGTGGAATATCTGATGGGATGCTCCCCAGATATCGAATTTTTCTGGAATCCACGACTCCGGAAACTGGGTCTACTCCATTAATCAGTCCAGCCCAGTAGATATAGGCATGCAGGAATTGATGCACTAACCGCATAAAATATCGTTCCAGTAATGAGCATCAGGCCTTCAAGTAGATAGTAACCCACGCCAAGCTGCTGGGTCAATTGGGCATATGAAAATATGGTAGCAGCATGTATGATTGGCGCAAATGCAGAGAGCCCTGTTGCAACGAAGGTTGAAAGTCGCAGTATCCTCCATTTTGGACTTTGAAACCGGGGGCTCACCACGATAGTGGCTGTTAGGGACCCTAGAACGCTAATCTACAGCAGTAAAGAGATATGATGAACTAGGGCGTTCGATACGGGGTAAAAGATTGTGGTAAGGGAAAGCTTACCATGGTCCAATACAGTTTCTGAAGGCCCGGCTCACAGTAAAAGGAAAAGTATATTCCTGAAATGAACGACCCGAGAGTCTGCAGAACAATGGCCACATAATCCAATCGGCCCCATATATCGACGTAGGCCTCTGAATGGCAGAGCAACGTGTGGTACATGGATGATATTCCAAAGCAAAGAACCGAGGAGGATAGGTATACGTGGAATGCGATCTGGTCCATGACAGACGCATTTATATAATAGGAGCGGAAGTATAGGTGGAGAAGGAAGTTGCCAATCACGGCGATTCCGGCTGGCACTAAATGAGAGTAGATATTGACGGTCTCATTGTGAATGTATTGTAAACTGTCAATGCAGAGCCTGACTGACCCGTTGACCGGACGGTAGCCAGTGCGAAGGAAAGAGTTGTGGGCATACCACGACGGCACCTCATTTGATGTCAACAGTTGATATTTGCTACTGGGTAGTTTGGTTAGAAGGCCATGAGTACTCTCAAGAGCCTTGCCTAGCTCGCGCTCGCCTCGCACGGGTGACAGACGTTGGTAAAGAGCCATGAAATGCCGACAGAAAAGTTGAGTCCGAGAGCCCGGTTGGTTTCGTTATTGAGTCCTAGTGAGTGTTTTGGCAAAGACAGGAAAGGATGAAGAGAAAAGATGGCCTTCCATGCTTCTACACCAGGTACCAGTTGGCGCAATATATAAGGGCCAAGGGTCAAGACAAGCGTAGGGAGAGTGACCAGCCTCATTGCTTTTGACACACTCCATACTTCCCTCCTAGCCGCCGAGCAAGGCAGACTGTCTTCCAAAATGCACGGCCTGACATTCCATCACCGGGATATATGTACAAACCGGGCGTCAAGACAGCGGATTGGCCAAGCAGTCTTCAAGCGTCACAAGAGCCCGGAAACTTTAACTTTGCTTTTTAGGGTTCGGGTCGTCTTACCCACCAAAGAGCCAAAATGGACGTCAGTCTTGAACACAACTCCGTTTGTATGTATACCCATAGACTCCCTGCGGCAGAGAGACGAGCCTTTACTTGCACTGTACGGAGTACTCCGCATATATTATGTATATATTTATATATATATATTCCCCAAGCATTGGTTTGAGTTCCGGCCGGCTGCGGGAAGGTGACAGGGGCCCCCGGTCCTAGCGAATGAGCGCCATTCTATGCGGGCGCTTCCTCACGCAGGATGGAGCCCAATCAGTAGGAGAGAATAAATCAGGAGCATCAGCACGCTGCATGGAGGAACAAGCACTATGCAACGCCAGACCTAGGGGCGGTACTCTTTTTACACAAGGCTGCGAGGCCATTTCCGCGCTCTCTCTCTCTCTCCAGCTCGTTTCTGAGTCCGCAAAATAATGCTCTTGTCGGATGGCTTCCCCCGCTGTGTTACTGCTACTGACTGCGCCGTTCAGCTATGGCGTCCCGGAGCGATTATACTGTAGGATGGATATGCGCACTGCCCCTGGAGATGGCCGCGGCGAAGGCGATACTTGACCGGCGTCATCCTGACCTGCCTGCGGATCCGGCCCTGAACGATACCAATGCCTATGTGTTCGGAAGTCTTGGTAGCCATAACATCGTGATTACTTGTTTGCCATTTGGCGTGTACGGGACGACCTCTGCCGCCGCTGTGGCGGTTCAGATGCTTGCGAGCTTCAAATCTATCCGGCTAAGCTTGATGGTTGGCGTCGGGGGAGGAGTGCCAAACACGCGAGAAGATATTCGCCTTGGTGATATTGTTGTGAGCAGACCGACGCCGGGCCGCCCCGGTATCATCCAGTACGACTTTGGAAAGAAAAGAGCCGATGACCATTTCAGCAGCACGGGAAGCTTGAATAAACCCTCAGCACTGCTTCTCACCGCAGCGGGAAAGGTTGAGACAAATAATATTTTAGGAGAGAGCCAGGTCCCCCAATATATCGCTAAGATCGCGCAAAAGGACCCCATCTTTGGGTATCCAGGACCAGAGCAAGACCTACTCTTTGAACCAGACTATAACCACGCTGCCGGTGATAATTGCGACCATTGTGACCCCGACAGAATAGTTCAAACCAGGCGGCCGCGCACAACGCAGAACCCCAAAGTTCACTATGGCCTGATTGCGTCTGGCAACCAGGTCATGCGGCACGGGCCTACTCGAGATAAGCTAGCGCGTGAGCACGGTATCCTCTGTTTCGAGATGGAGGCGGCTGGACTCATGGACATCGCCCAATGCCTAGTTATCCGGGGAATATGTGACTATTCAGATTCACACAAGAACAAGCGATGGCAGGGCTACGCTGCCGCTGCCGCTGCCGCCTATGCAAAAGAGATCTTAACTATCATCCCTGCGGCACCAACGACAGCCCCCCTGGCTTCGATCACAGATACAAACGTTGCTATTCTCCTTGATGCGTTACTTCTCACCAGACCAGAGGTAGACCGAAGTTCTTTAATAGCTCTTAAAGGCCGGAGGGTAGACGGCACCTGCGAATGGCTTCTTAGACATCCTAGCTATCAAGAATGGCTAGAAAGCACTGATCAACCGCTTCTCTGGCTCTCGGGTGGGCCCGGAAAGGGGAAAACGATGCTGGCCATTTACTTGACAGAACAGCTGCAGTCAGTGATACACTCAACAGACAGTGTTCTCCTATACTATTTCTGCAGCAGTAGAGACAAACAGCGGAACACAGCAGTTACTCTCCTAAGAGGTGTATTGCACCAGTGGCTTAGTAACTACCCTTACCTAGCCCACTATATCCAGAACTACTTTGACGGGCCCGAGACAACCAAGTACACTATTTCGAGCTTTGTATGCCTATGGAAACTCTTTCTCATCCTCCTCCATCAGATTGGGCACTGCGAGGTAGTGTGCGTTTTAGACGGCCTGGATGAATGTGAGGAGGAGTCTCTCAGGCAGCTTCTTGACGTCCTTAGGGATTACGTTTCTGGACCGGAGGAGAAACCGAAAGCACTCCTAAAGGTAATCCTCCTCTCTCGCCCCCAGCCAACCTTTATAGAGAGTAAGCTCGGACAATTCCGTCGGATTAGACTGGACGACGACTCAGATGTGGAGGTTGGGAAGGACGTTGAGAAATATATCTCAACTAAGATTGCCGAACTAGCGTCTGAAAAGACTCTCTCAGAAGATAAACTGCTACAAGTTCACCAAACATTGATGGCTGGTGCTGACGGAACCTTTCTATGGGTTGGGTTTGTTGCGGATGAACTCAAGGGAAGAAGTTGGTCGAGAGTCAAGGATATTCTCCGCAGTGTGCCTAAGGGCCTTGGGGGAATCTATCGACGGCTCCTGCAGCAAGTTGAAGACAAGGAAAAGCTGCTTCCTATTCTTCAATGGGTTGTCCTCGCTGCCCGGCCTATGACGGTAGAGGAGTTGACAGTGGCAGCGAGCATCCAGGCCTCTGGCAACCAGACACCAACGGAAATCCTGAATGATCGGCTTGCATCGTGCGGACTCTTGGTAAAAATCGAGCAAGATGTAGTCAACCTTGTCCATGAATCAGCAAGAGAGTACTTTCAGAGTGACCAGATCAATTCTGAGGACATCAGTATCTTTTTTATGGATCACACCACCCATCGGACGCTCACACGCAGTTGTCTGGCCATCATTGAAGGCAACTACAAATCCCGAGGCAGTATCAGCGCTATGCCTCACCATAACACTTTTTTGACCTATGCAAGCCTTTACTGGCCAGAGCATTTCCGATGCAGCTTCGACACATCAGAGGTTCAGTCTGAGTTTTCACTACAGTTCTTCCGCAACCAGTCTCCAGTTAGAGAGGATTGGTGGAAGTTTTACTGGGACCGGGAACAACACGGCGGTGCTCCGCCCTCGTTCACGCTCTTACATCTCGCCGCGTATTTCGGTAACCTGCCATGGGCCAAAACACTGCTCGACTACTGCTCGACCAAAAGTGTGACCACCTTCCGCCGTCCGATATCACGGAGGGATAGCTATGGTCGGACACCCCTTTTCTGGGCAGCCGCGAGAGGTCACCGAGATATGGTGGAGCTTTTGCTCGACCATGGCGCTAAAATCAATGCGAAAGATGGGAATAAACTGACAGCACTCCATGTGGCAATCACTGGAACGCACAAGGAAGTAGTGTCTCTGCTGCTGGAACGAACTGCTCCAATTGAGGAGAAAGGCAGCTATGGTGATACCCCGCTGGTTCGAGCTATCCAGGCGGGTTCCAAGGATCTTGTACAGTTACTCTTAGAGTATGGAGCCCAGGTTGATGGATTGCCCACACCTCCAGGAGGTTCTCCCCTAATAGGTCCTCTGATCCCAGTGGAGGAGCGTGCGAAAGAACTACTCAAGCTTCAAGACCAGCTCTTTGCAGCGCGATATGAGAACCAATCGAAACTGGTTGACCTCGTGATCCGCATATTAACAGTGTCTCTGCAATTCCCGCCATTCTTCAAAGTGGTTTCGCTGTACATGAGGCACTGGTCTGTTGGGCGCTGGGAGGTGTTGCAAGACCTGGTTAAGAATAATGAGTCGTTGAGATTGCGAAATTGGGCACAGTCATTTATTGCGTTTGGCGACCAGCTAATCGACTCCAAGGATCCCAGGAAACTGAATGCTATGGTGAAACTCACGGTCGAGATTTTCGAAGTCGTCTCGACCCCAGACCTGGAAGCTCTCCTAGTCATGGGCATTCTTGTGGGCTCATCCGTTATTCTGAGATCAGCTATGAACAAATGGAGAGAAGGGGTAGACATATCGGCCAGGACCTTTGCGCAATTCTGTTCTTTAGCCTACCAAAGAGGCATCGGTGAGGCCGTTGACTACGGGGTTCGTGAGTTTCTAGTCGATATCGACTCTGCCATTTGGCGCGGGAGAAGGGCAGAGACAGTCGATCGGTTGGGTGTCGTGTTCAGTGCGCTCCACGCCATCGTCGCCAGCGGAGATATACGGCCGATTGAGTACATGGTGACGGTCCTAGGGGGTTATTTTCAAGGCTATGTCGGTGGTAGGCTGGAGGAACAGCTGCTTGAGGATACCAACCAAGCATGTGCTAACGAAGTGGGCGCCATCAGTGAGTCCCAAGATGCGTCAAGGCTGCATCTCTTTCTATCTGCCATCCATCAGCTCTCCCAGTGTGCGAGCGAGAAAATGCGGATCTGGTTTCTAGACCTGATTCCTGCCTCATGCCAGATCCTCTGTCGCGCCAACCCACGTCTCCATAGATGGTTAATCAGTGAGGGAATACCGGGCGTACTGAGTGCTTTGATATATCAGCAACCAGACTCGGATCGAAGATTGGTATTCAAAGCTTTTGTAGAATGTCTGATCATAGGCAAGCAGTACGGTTTGTCTCTGCCAGTGGAGGTACGAGCTTTGGTGAAACGAAATTTTGATCTTATTGATGGAGTGGACGGAATGCTGGAGGAAATCCTTAGTAGTTGATTCTATAATCTCTTTTCAATTTCTTCTTCATTTATTTTTCCTTGGGTGTTTGTGGAAAACAAGCGTTTTGTCTGTGGCAGGTTTTTCAAGACATCGTTGTATATATCGCTTTATATGGTTTATTATTTAACCTATCTCAGTCTCAAACATAATGAAAATTAATCCTGTCCAGTTTCATCGTTACCTAATAAGCCGGGTTTGGAGCTTCTGAGTACATGTATCTGGCCTTTCACCTACGTTAGGCCATGACCCGGAAAGTGGTGCGGACCTTCGAGACGGGATGATCAGCTCTGTAGTGGTTGTGCCTCTTCGAGTACTACCATACCCGTTCTTTATATTGCTCAACACAAACGATAGAGAGCAAAGCTAGTGATTGTCACTTTGACCCGATTTCTGTACCAGAAGATCTATAATAAACTGTCGATGGTGCCAGGCAGCCCATATAAGTAGTGTGGCCACTGTTAATGGCATAGTGATGCTCCAATACAGCCAGAAATCGTCGGACACGGTAATTGTTAGAACATGGCCCTGTGGTGCGCTGAAGAAGTTCATGCCAAAAATACTCTGTAGATAATGGTTTTCAGTATTAATACTGCAAGTACATGACCTGCAGCAACTTAACTCACCGATACAAACATCCCCGGGAGGTATATCAAACTAACAATGGCGATCACTTTCATTACGGAGCTATCGGCTTGGGCATTATTGCCATGGAACTGGGAGATGAGGTTGAATGCCTATATAAAAAAGAAACCGGGTTAAAAAAGAGTAACGGAATGAGCTTTTCGCGCATGACAACTTACAAGATTAATCTCATTTTGCAAACGGGCATTCAATGAGCAGGAACGCATTTTCAATGCATGTAGTTCATCTTGTATGGACAGTAGCTCCTGTTGCTCACACTCGAAGTATCGTAGGGCTGTTGCTAGGCTGCTGCCACTGTCGCTTCGAAAACTGTTCTGCGACCGGCTGTGCTCACTGATGGTTCTTTGGACGGCCTGGATGGCCACGTCCAGCGTCTCCGTAGAATGAATAATGTGTCTTGCAAGGTCATGCAGCTGGGGGAAGTTGAAGCCCGCCGTTGCGCTTGCAGGCGAATCCCGAGACTAAACTAAGCATGAGCATTCTACCAAAGCCATGGAATATTTTATAAGTAGACCACTATGCTAGTAGAGCTTCTTCATGTCTGTGGGTATTCTGTAATTGCCCTACTATCATTTTTTGGGAACCTTACCTTCTCAATTTTGCGTACAACGTCGCGTAATGACCAGATAGATACATCATACAGCTTTAGAACCTCACGCATAAAGATTGAGTATATGGTATATGGGTTCCGCGCCTCTGCCGGGGGAAGTAGGCTTAGAAAGCTTTTTCCCATATCCTCTGGGAAGCCGAGTAGACAGACGAGATGCTGGCGAGTCTTCAAGTTCCAGCGAATGAATATTGTGATCTGCATCCAAGAATAATTATACTCAAGGCTGCCTGGGGTGCCAACTATATTCTTGATCTTGAAACATAACCATGAATCTGTCTGCAGCTATTAGATGCTGGGGTATGGCCTTCATGTGAAATAAAATGCATGGGAAAGAAGGTATTCTCGGACCATAATAGTAGCAGCCAGTCAAGGCGTTATGTTCCCAGTAACCACAGCGGAAGCAACCGTTCAAGTCCTTTAGCACAACGGGTTTAAATGCTGCCGGGAAGAGCTTTGCATGCCACACGTATGTGCAACTGGCCAGAATATCCGGTGAAGTAACCCTGTTTGCTCCAGTATGAACTTATTAGTTGGAATAATATTATAGCTGAAAAGCCCTGCCGTATGAAAATTTACTTGCATTAGACGTGCTCGATAATTCTCTTGAAATAGCACTTCATGTAAAGGTATCTGTTTCCGCAGCCAAATGCCATTTTCTAATATTAGAAATGCCCTCATTAGAACTGGAGCCTTTTATAATTTTAATAACTGAGCGAGTATGCAGCACATACCGTCCTCATCGGTAACGTCAAGCAGTTCGAGGGCGCCCGAGTCGCATTTCCAGTCTGAAGCCGCCATCTCAAGCCTGTGGGATAATCTATAAGACTGTAAGCTTTGTCTTCCAGACTTAACAGTCAAAGAAAGGGCTGCGATGCCAGCATAAAAATACTGGTAAGCCTAAAGGGGCCTCCTTTCTGACTGCTTCATGCACTTACTACGCGCACATCCCACAGCCCAACCAATCAATCAAATTCCTGAAGACCCCGGCTATGGCGGCAGCGCAATTTCATGCTCGCATGCCCCCAATATTTCTCAGCCTCTGGGGAAGAAAGGCTGTCAACTTGTCAGTCTACAAAGCCAGTTCGACCAAGGCTCCAAAGCAAAGGCGGAACGGCATCCATTCTTTTCGAGAGACCGTAAAAGATCGCTGAAGCAAGAGTGTGATCCAACAAACCCGGCTCTTGATGCCGAATGGATACAGCAAACTACTTCGGTGAGAAGACTTTCTGCCACAGTGACCTACATGACTGTCTTCCAATTGTATAGCTTTGACCGTACTATCACTCTTGCGTTAGTAGAGTGATAATACGTAAAAGACCGTCAGTCGATGCGGTCTTCCACCTTCACAACCACTCGGTTTTGCATGCACATTCAAGGCAATCAACTCGGCCGTATGGCCAAACTCCCGTTAGATGGTGGGCCAAGAGTTGTGATGTTCTGTCAAGGAAAGACGAACGATCGTATGATGGCGCGTCAAGTCGTATGATTTCTCGGCGTTTGATATTCATAACTACCTTGTCTGCCTTCTTGCCACAGTTTCTATTAATATTTCCCATAGCTGCAAAGACGAGGCTGCTGACCGTTGCCAACTCGTATAGATAGTCGAATTCTAAATCTGACCTGGCCAACATTCGAGTCGTCTTATAGGTATCGAGACAAGTATCTCCATGATGCCGCTTTTGCAGCTCGAAGGTACATCGAGACGGCTTTCCTGATAGTATCCGGACATTTTATCAAAGGTCCAACGTGTGTTCCGTTCTTCCACCGGTCCATCATCGTCGATCACGGCGCGGCACGGGTAGAAGTAGTCTTTTAATGGCGGATAAGACTAAGCAGCCGTGATATTCTCCGATGGTCGTAGGATATAAGTTAAATAGTCGAAGAAAACGGCGTCCTGCCAGTCTGGGAAGCGTCTTTAGCGTCTGCTCTATGCATAAACATCCCCTATCAAGCGCTCAGCACGCTTTGATCCTTCGAGATCTCCCGTGCAGTAGAGAGTAGTATCTAGATTCCGTTGTTTATATTGAAGAAACAGCCTAGAGATAAGCTTATAACAGCCATCAACAAGGGTCTCCGTCTTGTGTCTCCCCGTCTGCCCCTGTCTCTGCCTGTCTGTGTCTATCTCTGCCTCTTCTATAGAGTAGATGCTTGCTGCTTTACTTTGTTCGCACTGGAAACACGGCAGAGAAGTCAGTTATCAAACTTCTTATAGCTCCAAAATACCACCAGCAAGCCACAAAACGAGTCTCACCCTTTTCCCCGCAGGTTGGCTGATACGACAAGCAGCAAGAAGCGAGCTCTTCGCCTATAAACTGCTTTTCTCTTCGTCTTCTTCGCGCTCTTTCATTTGTTCTCGTCCAACTTGGCGACTCCAGCGACTTCATCTTGGTGGGAAAAAGGGCTGCGCCCCTCGACTCTACCGCGTAAAGCTGTAAGACCAGAGTTTGTCGACGGCGACATTTAGTATTTTTTTCACTTCTGGCTTCTGCTGGCGACTTATCGTATCGTCGTTGATATCGAGATCGTTTAAAAAGGCGGGCTTCCTTTTCGTGGTGAAAAAAAAAAAATCCTTCGAACTTCCACCAAAACAACTACCAGAGATACACAACCCAATACACACCATAAAGAGATACTTATAGGCTCTCGTCAGCATCCATGGATGGCTTGAACGGTCTCCCACATCCACATCCGATTGTTCCTGCACCGTCGAATTCTGTCTTTGCAAGCTTGCATCGCAGAGCCCGCACCGCCGGCTCGCCTGGCTCAACCGTCACCAAGACGATAGAGACCAGAGACACAGCGGCCAAAGAAGCAAAACGGTTTCTCCTCCAGGTCGTTCGTAGCGACTGGGCATATCCTCCCTCGGCCGCAGACGCCCCTACTCCAGAAGACACGGCAGAGGAGCAGCGCGAGATCATAGGATGGAGGCACCGGGAGCAGGACAACTCGGGCTCAGAGGCGGACGAAGGGCAGGAAAGCACAGAGGGAGGGGATCCTGATCCTCTCGACTCGCCTGATGCCGTTGCGCGGGGAGCATCGGACAGGCGCAGGAAACGTCGCAGGATAGTGGAAGACGAGATGAAATGGAACGAAGGCTTAAGCCTCTGGATGGCTCGACGGGATGCTTGGACGGGCGCGAAGGCGCCTGAACGGCCTGGTGCCGCTGCCTCGAGTGATACCAAAGCAGATCTGGAGGCGTACAGACAGTCTATAAGCAGCGAAGAGAGCTATAACGGGAGCTACGATACAGACCTGGTCGATACAGAGTCGCAATATACCCTCTCCAGGCCTGCGTCCAACGCCTCTACCGCTGCCAAGGTCAAACCGTCGGCTCCGGCAGCAGTTACCGCGCCTACGGAAGACAAGATTGAGCGTATAACCGTCTCGTTGGACGAAAGGACTTGCCTGAATCCTCCTGCCAACGCTAGGGAGGAAGAAGGACAAGTCGAGGATGAATACCTCGTACCTGTCATGGGCCCCTTGGTTCCTGACTCTAACCTGTTGCGCGCAGCTATCACTCCAAACGTCTACCCAGCCATATACACCAGGCTCGTCATCCAGTCGAACACACCCGCCGTCCCCATCAACCTTTCCCACATGACCCGCGCCCTCGTCCAGGGATGGAAATCAAATGGTGAATGGCCCCCAAAGCCAACTCCGACCAAGGACGTGCCGGTCATCAAGCGGTGGAAGACACCAGCCACCAATGACTCAAGTGAGCTGCGAGATGGCAAGGGGAGGAGGCTGTCAGGGGTCAGCAATGCAGTAAAGAAGGTCCTTGGATTATCATCCTTCAACCCTGGAAGTAGACTGCATATTCGCTCAAACAGCCATAGCGGTTCGATATCCAGGCCGGCGCCGGACGACTCTATTGGCCCTCCTTGAACGTTGACTCTGTACACGAAATTGACCAAACTCCGACGTGGGTGAAATGAGTTATGATCCTTCCCTTTCTTCTGTTTATTTTTCTCTTCTTTTTCATAGCCAGTATACCCTCTCGTAGTCCCATGTTCGAGTCTGATACCCAACAAGCAACCATGGCTATTTGGAGTTTTTTTCTAGTGTCCGGGGAACGTCAGTTTACTTGGAGAGAGGTCGATGCATCCTCTCGATGGTTTAGGTAGTTATCATGGCAGGTTTACTTTCATATCAATTGAATAAGTGTACCTTGATAAATATTATATTTCCGAGCCCTGGGTAACAGTGATATAAACAGTAAACCAAATGCATCATCACATCGTTAAGGCTAAACTTGAACAAGACAAAAGGAAAACAAATGCAAGAAGACGCTCTAGAGAAGACCTAACGTTTCAATAGAGCCGAAAAGAAGCCGGATAGTTTGTATGAAGGCTGTTTTTGCAACCTCCACAGATAAGATGCCAGGATTGATATCAATCTTTGCATATTGTTGCCCACGGCGGACAAAATACTTTCCATCATGAAGTGCCCAGTTGTCTTCCAGCCAGGACTCAAGTTCACGGGCAGCAAAGCTGCGAGACTCCGTGAAGAATGCTGGGGGCTTGATAGCTTGGGAGCCCAATGAGTCTGGTTTATCATTGCGAAGATATGGCCGAGTGATTGCAGGGGGGTCGAGGAGAGAAGACAGGCTGAATAACGCGGTCTGCCCGAAGAATTCAATGTAGGATAAGAGGTGGGTGACCCCCTGGCCCAATCGGTCAAGATAATCTACTATTGCGAGAGATGCAATAATACTCTCGAAGATGGACGTGAGAGTTAGTAGCACAGATGCATCTTGTAAGAGGCCTGGATCATCGATGAGACACTGCAAGGCGGTGTGGGCTGCTTTGAAGTATTCTGCAATCGAAGAAATATTAATGTCAACCTCGTCTTGTTTTGTGCAGTCGACGGTGAGCATTAAATCAGAGAATACACGCGTGGTAGCTTGGATAAGAGGACGGGCTAGAATCCATGCCGTAGGGTGATTGAGAGATGCCGCCACATATTCGGGAATAACACACTGAAGAAGAAAGCACCGAAGGGTTGGCCTCTGATAGCCCCCGATATCAGGGGCACCCGACATGGCTTCATAGAATTGGCCAGCAAGGTAACTCTGCTGTGCATCGATTGCTGCTCGTTCAGAAACACCTTGGATGAAAGTAACAAGCTGCTTTGCAAACTTGCTACCACCAGATATCCGCCCTGCATATCTCTTGAGTTTGGCCACAACATAATTGGGGTCGGATGCCGGTAAGGGGAATGACGCTGGATCCATGAAATATTTGTCGACAGGACATATATCCTCCGCATGCACCTGTAAAAACTCAACAACTCGATGGACGAAGTCGACATAGGAGCCCGGTACCACTGTCTTTCCTACTTCCTCGGAATTCTGCCTCATGGTCGCCATCATAGCCCGGATCATTTCTTGGTACATTTCTCCGAATCCGTTAGGAGCATAGATCTGGCTGGGTGAAAGGTCTGATATATGTAGTCGCATATTCGATAGCACACACGAAACGAGGGAGACTCGTCTTTGGCAAAAGTCCGACAACGTTATCTCATATTTACCCGTGGTCCTGTTGACGGCGAATGGTAGATTCCGGAACAGAGGGTTGTTGTAATCTTCGTTTAAAAGGGCGTTTGTCAACTCATGTTGATATTTCAGAAATAACTCTCGTTCCACAAGCGAAGCACTCCAATAAGTCAAGATATGAGACCTGCACTCTTCATATGATGCCGGGTCACTTAATATCAACCGAGACAAGAAATACGGCATAAACCTGCGCGTTTGGTCTGTTGACTTCAACGCTGGCCAGGAATCTTGGTCGTAGCGGTTGAAGTAGCTGCTCCATTGCCGCATCCCATGCTTAACTCTCGTATGCGCCACAGCCAACCAGGTGTTAATTATTTTAATAAGAATAGAGTCATCCGGTGTCTGATCCACTCCAAAGCAGGTTGAGACAAACTGAGAAAGCGCTGGTGCAATCGAACGATTCAGATAGGACGAGCCGGCGCTGGAAACTTCCAGTTGTTCCTGGCATAAATCAAGCCAGTCATCCTGACTGTCCTCATTTGTTTCTGATGGCTCAACTTGCTCCTCAAGGCTGACCGACGCAGTTGGGCTGTTGTCAGATTTCGTAAAGGAATTGACGACGTCCAAAACCTGGCAAATCACCGCGTCTCGACGCTTCACTTTGGGGTTGAAAAGCCCAAATATCTTTCCAAGGGGCATCTTCTCCATTAACAATGCTGCTTGATCCATATTTTTGGTCGCATCTATAGCTGACTTCATACAGACAAGAGCATCACTTATTAAAGCTTCGGCATGCCTTTCATTCTTAACAATGGCGCCTTCGATGTATTGACGAGGAAAGAAAGTGGCAGCAGGGACCTCTGCTTCTATTTCACTCCGTGCTTGAGAGTGCTGTCTCAATATCTCTATAATGAAATCACCATGCCATTCTGCAAATTTGCCCAAATCCGATGCATCTTTGTCCTTAGCAAGCGTAAACCTAACCAATCTTGACCAAGAGTGAATGTTAATGCTGCACGCATCTTTATGAGAGGTAGGAGGATGGACAAGACGCTGGATAGTGTTAAGGTGGGGACGACATCCCTTTGGCGCGCAGCAATACAATGCGCAGAGAAGATCATGGTGATTTCTAAGGGCATTCAAGTCTTCCACTCGTAAAGGCTTCTCTTTAGGGTATGTTCGGCCATGGTTAGGCAGCAGACGCCAAACTAGGTTCAAAACCTTCTTTGGCTCAAGTAAACTACTCAAATACCTGAGTCCCACCGTGATAATCTTCAAGAACAGGCGAAAGCAGGTGTCTGTCGCTTCTATTTCGAGTACTGGGTCTGAATCGAGCTGGTCAAGAAACCGGGGTGACCCATGCACTGGTTCTTTCTCGAGATCATGAAGCGAGTTTCCGGTGAAAAAATCAAAGAACATCTCGAGTATTGGTTTGCAATGTTGCCAACCCCAGTTCTTGATGAGAATAAAACAACGATGGAGGAGTGTCCGCATATAATTATTCAGCGAGGCCCACTGCTCTTTGGGTCTTGACCGGTATGATTCAAGGACGTTTGCCGTCAACTGTTTCACGGTAGGCCAATGATCATTGTGTAGTTGAAAGCGTAGCCCAGTATGAAAAATACCGAACTCATCAATCTCTTGGAAGGAAGAGAGATAAAAAGTGCCTCCCAAATCCGCTCCAAGCCCTGAACATTATGAGATAATGCCATAGCCCGGTCCAAGAACCGTACTTCAACACCCATGTCCTTTACATGTGTTTGCTGGAGTATTATCTGAGCAATCACAAATGCATCAACGAACGGATAATCATCTCGAATGCCAGTTTCACGTTTTTCAAGCTTCCTATTATCCTCTAGGAATTGTTGGATACTCCGTATCCCAGCTTGCGTTAGGGTAAAATCCATTGTCCGCTGAGCTGAAATCCTCATCAGGTCAACAATGGGGCCGACCCTGGACGAGTCCACAGTTTCATGTTTTGAGATCTGTAACAATTGGTTCAAAAACACCAGGTTGAACATCTCAATCCCAGCCATGAGAGTTGTTACGTTTGCTTCAGGGTCTAGGCTAGACAGATGTGTCTCGGTTAGCTGGGAGACAAAGCCAGTGCACCTGGAAACGAGGTTGGAGCGATCGACAGGATCTATAAAGCTCAAATGCTCTGAAATATAGCAAATGATGGATTGATAGAGCTCCAACACTTGGGTCGTAATTGAAGTTGGCACAGTGGTCATACCATCTATCGTTTGTTGAGGGCTGTTCGACGATGCTAAGAAAACGAATGAATCTCCAAGTTCTGATGACACAGTCTCATTCCACGAGCCCCAACTGTAGACTTTATCCCCATGACGGATAGTTGAATGGCCATTGTCAATGTCTAAATCTCGAGATAGTATATGCAGGGACTGAGAAAATTTTCCACTCCCAATAAACGTTGACTGATGATAGTATGTACCAATGTATAATGGATGGGTATCAAAGTCAAGTTTGTAGGGCCGTTCAGGACGATGTAGTCCAGGCAGCATTGTATCGTCATCTTCTAGGCCCACAATAGAAGCAGTGTCACCAATTCCATTGTCAAAGTCAGGAGGTTGCCGATACTCGAATGTTTCGATGTTTATATGTTTGGGTTGCCGTTTCCTTTTTGTTATCCGTCGCTTCTTGATTTCTTTCTTCGTAGAAGAATGATCTGGTTCATTCTCTGAAATAACGGTATTGTCTATTGCAGGCTGTGGTGGCTGTGGCTTTTGTGTTTCGCTGAGGAATCTTGTCAGCGTTAAAGGCCGACCCGACGTTTTATATGCCTTACGAAGTGCGGAAAGGGTCCCATGAAATGTAGATGGCCGTTGGGGAAGGTCGGTAGAAATGTCCTCAACATCCAGCTGTGCGGGCCTCGGAACATGTCGTTGAAAAGACGAAATACCATATGGATGTTGAATCACCCAATTATTTTTCAACTTTTGCCGTTTTTTATTTGGGTTGGTCCGGGTTGGTTGTTCAGTTGAGCTGCCGTCATCATCAATTACTATTGGCTCGGATTCTGCTTCGGGTATCAGTCCCGTCCTTCGGGTTGGATCTCTGGCTACCCCAGCAGTCCCTGAGACGGTAGATGAAGGCCAAGCTCTGCTCTGAGACTTTGGTATCCCTCTTGTCCGTGCAGAACTTGTACTTGGGGCAGGTTTATATTTTCCTGCCCGCCAGTTACGGAGCGAGGCATTTGCGTCATGCGTATCAGCCTTTGTGGCAAGCTTCAATACCTTATGAGATGGGCTTCGACGCCCCTTATCTCTACGTGAACGGGCTTGTCGAGCAGCAATTCGTAAGAATTGTGGCTGCGTATGAACACGTTGGCCACTAACATCCTCAGCATCTAAGATACCTAGCTTAGGTGGTCGTGGTTCCGTAGGTTTTGATTTTCGCCAATGGCCTATGGTATCAGTGATTCTCGTCTGTAGTTTCCTTTGCGGCTCGGAACTCCAGGTCGACCTAGGTTCGGCGCTGATTATTCCTGAGGACTGACACTTCCGTTTCTCAGTGGATTTCTTTTTTGACCTAGGGCGGCGTGAAACTGGAGGAGCCATGTAATCAATGCGATTGTCTTCAGGGATATCATCGTCGTCGTTAAATAAACCAAAATGACGTTCAAGTCGTTCTTGTTCTCGTGATTCCCGTTCATTTTGCTGCTGTGATCTAACTGGCCTGGTATCATCAGACTCGGAGTCGCTAAATAAGTCAAAATTCCTGGTCCGGGTGGGTGTTTCCTGGTTCTCGGCCCGTTCCCTACGTGATACAGGCTGTGCAACTCCTTTGCCTGTCCTACGTTCTCGATTCAATACCCTTCGACGCTCCTTCTCTGCAGCTTGTCTCTTATATTGCTCATGTTTTTCGTGGTCAAGTCTAGCAAATGAAGCTGGCAGAACTCCCTTTATCTGTCGTTGTATCTGTCTAATTATAAAGGAATCCTTTTCTGGGTTGTCCGATGCAGATTCATCTGTGGGCTCATTTGGGATGACTGTGACGTCTTCTTCATCTTGTTCAATCACAGAAGATGGATCACTGGGGATAGTTTCAGGAGGTTGGGCTTGCGACCCTTTTTCAGATAGCGGGGTCTGTAGCAGAGTCTTATGCTTAGGAGGTGTGAACCCAGGCGGGAATCTAAAAGTGGTCGGGTCTCTTGGAAGAGTTGATGATCCTTCCCCAGACGAAGGAGGAGAAGGAGGTACATCGAAAATGTCGTATAGTTTGGAAAGCTCATCTTTCTCCTTAGCTGGACTACCACTGATAACGACCTGGATCCTCGCCCCTTTGCTTTGGACAGGATTTTCTGATGGGCGAACATTCCCTGGATGAGCAATCTTACGTCGCTTGCTCCCCGTCTGGTTAGATTTTACAGAACGGAGTCGAGCATTGGTATCATGAAGGGCTCTTAGACCAATCCCTCGGTCTATGGCTCCATTACGGTCACTCAGTGACTGGCTCAAACCCGAATGATCATAAATATCAGGAGAAGAAGGCGGAAAATAGACAGGACTACTTGACGGTGGAACATTCTCGTCTTGCGAATCAAAGCTCTGATTTTCCCCTACATTCTTGCGGGAGTGAGGTTCATCATTAGGCATCCGAACCGGCTGCACACCTCTGTTCCTCATGAGCGATCTATACTGAGCGTTTTCCAGCATGTAAGGATGTAATTGAATGGCATTTCGTTGTCTTAAGGCCCTCCGGTGATTCTGGTTCTGCCATTCCAAAAGGCCTAGGTCGGCCATGTTAATATCGCCGTCATTGGATTGTATAGTTTCTCCCCGCGGCTGCGGATCACTCCCGTCATCCCTTTGCGGTGGTGCTAGTGACTTTTCTCGGGAAGGTGGAGAGTCCAGGAGCGGTGGTACAGATGACAATGGAGACGAGTTTAGACTGTTGTCAAATTTTTTGTCCACGTCTTGGAGCTCAGTCGCCTTGGCGAGAGGTGTTTGCAGGGGCTGAGAACGGAATTCCTCGAATTGCAGTGCATCCGGAGAAGACGGCGGTTCTACCTGCGAGACGGCAGTCTCTAGACAGTCATGGCCATCAGGCTTCTGCCTGCTTCCCTTACTCGGGCTCAAGAAAGCCTGCAAGATTGTCTGGTAATCATCCTGTAGCGGATCTGTATCAAGACCTTCTGTCTCAAATTGCGTATGCTGAGAGCTCTGATTTAACGTATGTTCACCTTCTTCTCTGGTCTCCTCTTCAGCCACGGCCTCCTCTTCATCTTCACTTCCATCATGTTGAATCTCACTGTTGTGTTCTCCAACTTCCGTCTCGTCGTTGGTAACAGTCACCTCTCCTCCACCACCAAGCAATTCCTGACTATCGAATTCGTCTCCCTCATCAGAGTCAGGAACATATCCGCGTTCACGCCATTGTTCCATTTGCAACACTCCATCCCTTTCACTCCTTCAACTGTGTATCGTTCAGCAAGAAATCGATGAAGTTGATTATCCAAGACGCGTTTTTTTTTTTGACGCGACTTAAAGTGGGAATTGCTTACGTAATAGTTCAACGTCGAAGTTCGGTATTATATGGAGAGAACGAAGAATGAAAATACATCAATTTATCTGTTCAGTGAAAACTCTTGACGGAAGCTGATTATATAGCTAAGGATGGGCGGGAAGCAAGGACTCGTGCCTGTTGCTTTAGCTGTGGGCTTGGGCATTCTCAATGGTAAGTTAATATATCGAGCATTAAAGCTGTCCGATCCAAAACTGCTAACCTCATAAATGCACAGGCTATCTGGTTTTCAAACCAGCTTACGAAGAGCGGGAAGCGCAGAAGATACTAGAGTCTTCGTATGTACTACTGTAGTGCCTCTGATTTGACGGTCTGACTGCTAATAGCTTCGTCAGGTCAAAACCAACTGAACCTACCTATTCACGCCGAATATTTAACTGGTGGTCTGGAAACGAATCAACATCGACAGATAAAGCAGGACAACATAAATGAGTGCGCATTGAGCGGATAATTGGTTAGAACCAATTATATGACCCGAAACACGTAGTCAGATGCCACGATATGAGCTGCACCAGCAAGACAAGGAGCCCAGCTGTCGTGTGGAGACATGCGGACAGAAATCCGAGAAAAAGGGCTGGACCCTTGCTGAAAGGTATATAAGAATCATATCAATCTTCTAGGCGATGGTGATTGGTCCTACGTCACGAAATTTACCATGGTGGGTATGGATCCCATGAAATCAGCGAGATCCGAAGCAAGGTTGACCAGACCTTTTGTATGATATGCGATATGTATGATATGTTATACTTGCACTATTAAAAACCCCTTACGATTATGATACATTTCTTTTCATGTACTAGATTAATATAATACCCACGCCATAGCCCAAACAAAATACATCAAATAACAGAGGCCTTGCCAGAACATCGCAAGATAACCCAGCCTCTCCCAGAGTAATAGAAAGCACCACAATGACCCGCCTGGTAAGACACTAGCATAGAAGATAGCAATTAAATCTCTTCAACAAGTTTCCCGCTATGAGTAGGGACATTGCTTGGACTGCCAAATATGCTGCCAGCAGGGGTACCGAACCACTCGTCCGGGACTCCAATACGGTAACCGCTACGGTTGATGACGCATCGTATCATAGTAGGGTCTGGCTTTTCTGGCTCTTGAGCTTCCTGTTGACCCGGCGTGCTCTCCCCAGCAGCTTCGGCGGCACTTATCTTCCCACGGCGTTTGGGGGCTTGCTTCTTCAGTAGCTTGTTTATAGTATCCATCTGATATAGGCGGTTAATGATCTGTGTGCATTACTATGAGTAGGTCTGACTACATACCTTTTCTTCTTCGTTACGTTTTTCACTGAGATTTTTCCTCCTTCGGGCCATCTCCGCGCGGCGCATGGCATGCTCTTCGGCCGTAAGATGTTTCTTAACTTGGGGTTCTACAGTTGATGTATCAGTACGCTGATATATAGATAATTATATCCTTATAAGATGGAATACATACCCATGGGTAGTTGTAAGAAGTCACCTCCAAGCTCGATACGTCCGCGCTGTCGTCTGGTCATTTTACTTAGGTCAGGGGTGCTCGACCTGCTTCCGCCCATGAGCTCTTCGTCTGACTCGTCCTCCTCATCTTCCTCTTCGGGCTCGTCATCATTAGTTTCAAGTCCCATGGTATCATCCTGTCCGCCAATATCATTATCAGACTCTAGCTCAGACAGGCCTTCCTCGTCATCTTCGTCGTCATCGTCTTCAAGAACAGCCCGTGACTCCGTCTTTCTCACTTTAGTCGCGGCTGCAGGTGTGACTGTAACAATAGGCCTGGCAACCGCCTGTTTCGCGATGGGGGACACCGGGGGAGCATCGTCCATGTCGATATCACCCTCCGCATCGATATCAGGCTCGCCATCAGCATCCAGGTCTGAATCCCCTTCTGCGTCCATCTCGTCATCTTCTTCATCTTCCTCGTCTCCAATTTCTTCTGATGGCTCATCGTCCTCATCTGAGTCGACTTCCACAACTTTCCTCTTAGAGCGAGAGTTTCTAGGGCCTGAGATTATCACATTCTCCGTAAAAATGTTACGAGGTTTATCCAGATCATCTGCTCCGTTGGTGACTTCACGGAGCTTGCTTGCCGGCATCTTGACGGTAAGTCGAATTGACTTCCTTATTCCTTCAGGAGAACTAGATGGTGACCGAGATACAGTCACTGTCGTTGTAGCTGTAGCAGTAGAAGTCCTGGTGGCGCGTTTCGACCTTAATGTCGTGCCGATAGAGTCTGTGGACATGGTTAACTTGGTTACACCTGAACGGGAACGAAGAGAGCGAGTAGAAGACATCTCGGGTATATGTTTTGATACTGCCAGGGAGACGTGCTATGTGATCGGTTTGATGATGATGATGATGCAGATGGTTTAGAAGAAAAGAGAAAAAGATGTGTTCACGCAGAGAAACAAGTATATAGAGGGGGACGGATGGGGCAAACCGGGCCAGCAGGACAGAAGGATGCTACCCGCTGGTGAATGGTCTTGTATGCAGGCAGGTGAAGTGAGAAGCCAGCATGAAAGGAAAAGGGGCAAACGGCAACGTCAAGATACTGGCTTGAAGCTACATTCGAGCCTTTATCTGCAAAATTAAAGGGCTTCTCTGGCTTGCTATCCTTGCCATCCGCATCTTAGAGTGGCCATCTTGGCGTTGCTGTTGGATGGTTTTTTTTTTTTTTGATAGATGTACCTCCCCAGCCAGCCATAGAAACCAGACCCGGGTGTACGGAGTGATAGCAGTGTAAAAACAGCACGGAAAGGATTCTTGTTCTCTAGCCCATTTATATATAATAACAAATAAAAATATATGGGCCGGCGCAGGAAGAAACGAGCCCATCGGCTTGCCTTACCTATATTACTTTCTAGAGCAGCTGAATGGCGGCTGGCATCGCTGCTGGACCCCGTCTCGTGTGTGTTGTACGAGCGCTGGACCGGCAAGTGTGCTCGTCCTGTTGGCGGAGAAGCTTGACTGGTCTCGTCTCTGTGCTTGTCATGGATCTGATCCGTCCGTCGTTGGAGGGACGAAGAAAAGGGCCCTTTCGTTTCGCCACAAAGGTGAGTAAGCCTGCAGGGAATCGCAGTGAAGGGGGGAGCCTGTGTATAGGCGAGCAGGGGACAAGCAGCAGCTAACCTGTCTTCTTCCTTATTTTACTCTATTGGTGGAGTATGGAGATTATTTTTCCCTTGCACATAAGTTTTGCATATTACATGAAGTTGAAAAGCGCCAAAAATCAGATGGGTACGGCGATGTATCTACTGTATGCGTATTATATAAAGGTACTTCATATACAGCTAAAAGTTGGCTTTGAAAGAAGTACCTCTGTAATATTACCGCTCTAATGCCAAAGATACAAGCCGAGGTAAAAAGGTGCTTTGAGCTTCTCTACTAATTTTTATTCTTTCAATTTCCCCAGATATTTATTCTCCTTCGCGCCCATCTTAACGCCAAAGGCTTGTATATCTATAGTTAATACGCATAAATAACACGCATAGCCATGGCAGGACCAAAAGGAACGGCAATACCGAGCTGGCAACAAGGTGCTGCGCAGGAGACGTCCTCAGAGAGCAGCACAGCCACGAGCTCACCAGCAGAGCCCGAGAGCAGAGAGACCCTTCTCGAGCAGGCCAAACGGTTTCTCCAAGACGAATCCATATCCGAAGCGCCCACAGATAAGAAGATCGCATTTCTAGAGTCCAAGGGGCTGTCGAACGACGAAATCCATACCCTTCTAGGTGTATCTAGAAACACCCAGGCTACCGCTGACGATACCACCACTACTACCAGTTCCACAACACCAGAACCGGAATCGCAATCGCAATCATCGAAGGTGAAAGAAACTCCCAAAGAACCACCGAGTGAAGGTGTGCAGTTTTTGTCAGCTCCGTCTCCCACACCCAGCAAGGATGTGCCCCCGATCATCACATACCCTGAATTCCTCCTCCGGCAATCAAAACCACCTCTCATCACGTTCCAGAACTTCTTATATACGTTATATGGCACTGCCGGGCTTGCAGCCAGCATCTATGGTGCAAGTGAATACCTAGCCAAACCGATGCTAGAGTCACTAAACGGTGCCCGGCACGAGTTCTCCGAAACAGTACAAGGGAATCTCAAGATGTTAAATGAGAAGCTAGAAGGCAGTGTATCCAGAATACCACCACTATCAACTCCGAGACCGAAACAGACGTCATCAACAGAAGGCCAGAGCGAGGACGATAACGAGTCAGTCACCTCGGATCCAACGGAGCTTTTTCATCGAGACATCGCTACCCAGACCATAGACCTGGAGCCGCCTACTTCATCACAGACGGCGGTAGGTACGGAGGTGCAGGCTGAGCCGGCGCAGAAGACGATTGATAACCACCTTGCGCGTTTACGGTCGATATCCTCGCACTTGTCTAGCGTGGTGACGGCGGAGAAGTATAGTGATAGTACCCAGGGCTATGCCAGAGATAGGTTGACGGAGCTATATACGTATCTTGATAGTCTCACGTATAGCACTCCATCGTACCTGAGCTCGTCTTTGTACGGTTCGTATGAGGATTCTGATACGAAGAAGCCTACTGGTGAGGATGAGGCTATTTCAGCGTTTAAGTCAGAGGTGCGGAGTGTCAAGGGGACCCTGTTGAGCGCAAGGAACTTTCCGTCTGGTAGCGGTGGGCTGAGATCAGGTTCTGCGGTGCGGTGAGCAGTATTTAATATCGGATAGATAATGTACATCACAATTAATGACTTTTTATACCTCTATTTGAAAGCTAGAGTGGCTGAGAATTGGGTATCTGATACTTTCATTGATAATAGTAATCAAGTAAAAAAAGGCCACGAGTAATAATTAATGCTTCATGCCTTATAAAAAAATGCACATGTAACCAAACCGCTCAAAAAAACGACATCCCGCATAAAACAACTCCAGAAACCCCGTAAAAATACAAAGAAAAAAAAAAAAAGGTATCTTGATAATCACACTAGTCAATTCATTCCATGAGCTCCGCTGGAGGGCGAGCGGTGTGCGCAAGTATCCTTCTTGGTTGAATATCAAGCGGGCTCAAGTCCATATCAGAGTCCGTATCAGTGTCAAGCGTGGTATCCTCGACCATAACAGCCGGGAGATGCGGGCTGTTTCCATGATGCTCGGGGTGATAAATCAGAGTGCTGCTACGGCTTCGTTGCCCCGATCCCGTACGCGCAACATCTTTCCCGTCCAAAGCCATGGCCACATCCGTAGGAGAAACAGGGGTCTCCGGCCGTCGTCCAGACTCGTTGATATGGCTGTCTGAACTGTAGAATCGACCAAGTCTGCCCAGGGCCTCGGCCAGATCAGAAGCGTGAACCTCCTTGTTTGGTGGCTCCTCGTTGCGCATCATCCATCCGTGTGGAGGGCTGGGTGGCGGGCTGATGAAGAACATCTTCTGCGACTGGGGAGCTTCAAGAAGCTTGCTGCGCCGAATCTCTGCGGCATCTGTCTGTATGGGTGTGTTTTCGCCAAAGTAGACTCTTGCTCGGCCTTTTCCTTGTAGTGGCTCCCTGTCTAGAAGCTGGCGTACTTTGATTGCATCGTCAATGGTCAGGAACGAGCAGACTATGCGGCGAAAGGACGGGAGAGGTGAGAATGAGTTGAGTGGCGCGGTGGCCGTGATGTGAGCTTTGATTTTCTCGAGTGAGATGGGCTGGAAGAGAGAGAGATCGTTCAGATCAGTTATGAGGAGGGTGTTTGACGGTGGTGATGGCTGCTGGAGCGGCGGCACCTCGATCGAGAGCGGTGCGCCCCGTCGAGAGAGCGAGCGAGTTGGAGAGCTGGAGCCAGACATCTTGGTATCTTCTCTTCTCTTCTCTGCCTTCTTTTCTGCCTTCTTCTGACTTGTCTTCTCGACTTGGTATCTTTTATACTGATGAAGCCGAAGTTGGTGAAGTCGGTCCAAGGTTGATCCCGTGACTGTTGATGCGAAAAGTAAGAAACAAGAAAAAAAACATCCAAAAAACTTGCAACGAACGAACAGTTTAAGTATCTCAAGAGGACAGCAGACAGCAGGGAAAGATTCGCAGCCAGCCAGAACACGCAAGCGCCACTCGTTTCGGCCCAGAGCGTGAGCAGACTCGATCATTCCATGGAGAAGTTGAAGTTTTCTTCAGCGCTAAGCCTGCACAGCCCGCTCGCCGCGCAGTGTTTCTCGACCGCATGGCCTCCCCCCTTTTTTTTACTCCTGGCTGGCGCAGCAAGCAGAGATTTATCTTCTCCGGGTCATACTGGCGATATATGGCTTAGCTGGTTAATCTCCACGACACAATTTGAAATACTCGTCTGGGTTCCCCCCTGAAGGTCCGATATGGAGGCGCCGCTGTGGCGATCATCAAACGCGTCGGCTTAGATATCTCTCGAGAATTGCATTGTTGCTGAGGGCTGTGCTCTTTGTACTGCTTATTTCTTGCCTACGGGCTGCTTTTACTCCGTAAATCCGGGCTATAACTATGGAGTAGACAGCTACGGTCCCCGCAATATATGTTTAACGGCCGCATTAGGTTGCTGGAGGCGCTGACAGCGGACGCCGCGAAGATGACCATACATCTATCGTTGTTGCGAAGAGCGAAGCCCGAGGAAAACCCAGCCTTGGGATGGATGGCAGGTCTTATCACGAAGGAATATAGCATCCTCTTAAACCAGAATCTACTTGGGGCTCTGCAGAATGAACAGCCATAGGCGATGATTAGTTTTCAGGGAGATATCCGTATTGCCAACTGTCCTCTGCAACAATGTATGCCTTGTCAAGTGATGCTCACCGACAAGTCAATCCACGGACGGGATAGAACAGGAAATCTGCACATACCCATGATTTCTTTCCCGGCGAAGCAAGGCTTCCACGTCTTGCATCCCCTCGGCAGGATACATATATACCTCTCCCCTCTTTGCTGTGTGGTTGTCATCGCCTGCCGATTACCTAGTGTAAAGTTACATCCCTTAATATCCTTTTCCCCTTTTAATGGCCCTGATGGTGATCTCCCGTTGATGTCACCATGAGATGTTGTTTCACTGCCATAGCTTCTTGACGGAGCTATGCTGCGAATTATTGTCGTGCAACAGTCCATTTTTTGTCTCTCTCGTGCACCCTATTGATTCCAAGGCTGTGCTATGCGGCACATATGCCTCGAAGCTCTTATTTTCCGTGAGATATAGCTCGTTACTGCTTGACAAACATGCTAGAAATAGCCTGTCTTTTGGCAATCACATTCATATCCGTGTAATCGATGGATTCCCAAAATTGGGGTCCCTTTACATATAGCAATGGGTCTCTCCTCCTGCCTAATGCCGCTCATGTTCGGTTAAGCTTCTTCTCTTTCCCCTTTTTCCTCTATGCAGGGACAATTGCGGTGTACTCGTGTACTCGGCGTTCCTACATGATGTACATACCCTCGGAAGCGAGTCCCATCCTCAATGGACAATGACAACGTTAGACGCGGTTTAATTTCGGCCATACAGCTGAGGTGGTGCAACAGCAACGCGTTCCGAATGCATAACATATTCGTTGCAGAGTTAACCTGCCTACTATCAATTGTCACATGCGCTGATCCGCCCTGACAGTGATTGTGCTTCCATTTTGGGAAAATATTTCTGGGTAGAAATGAAGCTTCGTGAGAATCGGGCGGATAACAGGTGCGTTTTCCTCGCCTTGGCCAATGTCGTGAAAGCCGGAGAGCTACTATCCTTGTTCTCGTTTTCCTTACTACCACACCCCTTTCTTTTGAATCCATCCAGTCCAGTCCGGTTGAGGGGATCATGGACCCGCCTCACTCCCAATACAATGAGCCCACCTACTCATACGGACAGCAAAGGAAGGGATCTCACGTCTTGTCTAGGGTTCCAGCGTTATCAGCCTCTTCCCGATCACCGGGCAGGTTGGAGTCTGGGACCATGCATTAGGCATCCGTGAAGAATACCATCTGACTATCACCGGTAGGGGACATACTATGCCTTAAATACAGATACCAAAAGGCAATCGACTTCCTTTCCGTTCTCCCCTTCTCTCTTTTTTTTTCCCATACTCTTAAATGCAACCGATATCTGGTCAGCTACTCTTTGAACTCCCTCATAATACACAATCGTTCACGTCTCCCTATACAGGTTAACATTGGCATTCAGAAAAAGCACGCAAAACACCCTGAACATCTGGCGGATCAAGTCCGAAAGAAAAGAGCGCCTTTCAAACGTCTTGTCTATACTTAATTTCCTGTCGTTTCTACCAATGTGTCAAAAGGCCTTTTACATCCACGTCTGTGGCCACCGAAGCTGGGGCCCACTTAATCGCTGCGAAAACCGCTACGTCTGCCCCCCAGAGACTACAGGCTACTATCCCGTCTACCTCACCAGCCCATGTCGATTCTGTCGAACATCCACCCGTCGAGGAAGGGATGCTGGACGTGGTCGGGGGCGAGGGCGAGCAGCTCCTAATTCCCAGGCACAAAATACTTCGTCGCCAGTCTCTCCATCTCGCTTGACTGCGGGTTATCCACCTCCACATGGCGATGGGGAACCAAGTGCTCCACCGTCAGAAAAGGCCAGCCTTCCCAAGATGCCTTAAAGGGGGGGTCATTGAGAACTCAAAGAATTCAAGAATCCGGATGATCACCTACATGGTAGGCCCTGGTATCCTTCACCCTTTGCCCTTAAGCCTCATTCCCATGCTAACATTGCAACTCAGATGGCGTGGGGGAGGGACGGAGAACTACAACGAGGTTTGCCCTGGGGATGGCCTGGTCTATGGTTGTGAACTTGGTTGGATGGCTACTCCAACTATACTTCTACTTTTTTAATCTTCACTTGTCCTTTCTATTTATTTTATTTGTACTGAGACGATCTATCAACACTGCTTTAATTAACCTAATTTCCAAGAATAAATAGCCTGAAATATCCCGACATACATCTGTACCTTTTTTCGCAAGTAATATGTCAAAAAGGCGGCGGATGGGAGGTATATTGGATATCCGAACCGAAGCCTCCACTCATCAATCTTCATCTCTTGACTATAGTTCATCCCTTCTAATTTCACCGACACCCATGCTTCCGCCCGGCTTTCCCAGTAGACGATAATCAGAGGCCGAAAGCAAACATCCATGATTCCCGCGCAGCGATGGGCTTTGTGGCGTACAAAGCTGCAAGTATCCGAAAGGTCGACTCCTTTTGATATATTTATACACCAACAAGCCTTACCGCCAGTTTCAAGACAAACATCGTTGCACCGAAAAAACATTTCTTTTGCTTTTCTAGATTATTCTCACCCAAGGGTCATGCACATGGGCGAGAAGGGAAATTATATAAGTGGCTGCCCTGCCGAAGGCGCCTTGTACGGCGTATATCAAACGTGTTGCTATGGTTCAAAGAATTTGGCTGCCTCAAGAGTGAGGAAGAACGTCTTCCCTTCAGCCCAACCAAGTTAGTCTCTCTACACTTCTCGGTTAAACGAATGCGAGCACATTGGACCCATTTTGACGGATAATAAGTCGCTTATTCTAGATACACGTTTTATTATATGTCCAGGGTTGGCTGGCATCCTTAGTTCGCACAGGGACAGTCAACACAACAGCTTTACAAAAAAAAAAAAAAAAAACGGTTGCTAAGGTGATTTCTCGCATCGAGGAAACAGGAGCAGGTCGTTACAAATGTGAATATCATCTCGAGTTCGCAGGTTTACTCGGCGCTTGCAGACCAGATCATCTGGTTGATGGACCAAGATAGGACTCTCTACGCGCTGATATGAACAAAGTACACCGGCAGCAAGCTTCTTTGGGAAAATCTGCTCTGGACTACTGCGCTTGATGTTACTCTCGTATATGGTGGAGCGAAGCCATCATAGACAAAACATCTTTCTCTGGTTGGCAGCTGGCATTAAAAAAAGAAAGCAGTCCAAAGGTCCCACATATTCTATGTTTCATCAACGCTCCTACCTTATCTCAAACTCTATGTTCCGCCAGAGCTAAAGCCAGGTGGAAGATGGGCCGAAGATGGGATGGATCAAGGATATCTTCATGCTGATGCAAAGCGACTAATCGGGAGGATATGGAGTAGCTATGGAGCCGTTCTTCCTCCATCGAGCCTCTGGAGCTGACAGGTTCTTTTTTAGTGACCGGATAGGGTACATAATATGTACTACTATGTTGTGACCTGTCGAACAGACAAGTCTCCGGGGAGAGAAGAGCAATACATAGTAGAGGGGATGAGGCTGCCTGGAACGGGCAGTTGTCACACTGGGACAAAGTCCGAGCTAAGAGTTACGGAGTAAACCTGTTGCACACCGTTCATGCAGGTCTCAAAGCTCGTTTTGACCATCTCTCTATGTGGTGTTGGGATACCCCTGAGAGGGTCTGTTGAAGAACAGTGCTAATCGGGGTATGAACATTGTCCAGAGCAAAGGCCGCTTCATGGTGATCCAGAACACAAGTATCAATCTGGAGAAGAAAGGGGGGAGCGGGAAAAAGCTCGTGCCTTCGAATGAGAGGACATCTTGTGGCACGATTGTGACGTGTGATGGTTTCTAACCTGAAGTATTGCTGATGTTGCATCTTCTTACGCCCGCCTGGGTTGTCCAGCAGGGATATTCGCTGTTCTGTTTTGCCCCGGAGCAGGATGAGAAAGCTTCGAAATGGTGAAGGACTGGCGTTCCCGATAGCTCCTGAGCCGTTAGTGCTCCCGTCTCGACGGAGATTGCCGGTGTGGCCGTGGATAACGGGCGGTTTTTCCTAGCTCATCCTCCCGGATCGGGCAGGGTAATCTTGAGCCAAATGACCCCTTTTTCTCCCACCCAGAAGGACGAATACGTCGCAGTGCAGGAGTTGTGGGTGGTGATGGAGATGAATAGAGGGAGGGGAAAGAAAACCCACCAGATCGATCGTATATGCAAGTTGGGGGATCAGCCGTTTTGCTCGCCATCGTCTCGATTAGGATCCACAAGTGGGCGAACGATAAAAGATGGGATATCCACATATACGGATTAAATCGGGGTGTCACCAAAAGTGCTGACACTGGACACAATTTATGTGGCCCTCTTGGTGAGGATTTGGGTGGGCCACCCTGAACTACCACTAAGCAAGTAGAAAGCTCAGAAAAGAGATCTAGCTGAACCGTGGATAAGAGAAAGTCAGTTGCGAAAGGACGGAGTGGACTCTCGCGTGGCCAGGGAGTTTTTTGAGTCTCCATGGAGATTGCATCGTGATTAGCCAACGGACAGACAGAAGAAAAGGGTTAGGAAAGGTGGAAATTACCTTAGAAAAGAACTGGAGAAGGGAGAGGACAATATCAGAAGACGAAGGTCAAGGATAAGGAATGGCTTGTGAGATATTGCTCTACTTCTTGTACTTCTTACGCTAGTCTTGCAA